AAATAGATAGAATGAATTTCATCATGAATTTTATAAAAGCATTCTTTTTAGATATGTTTGTTTTGATAATCCTCATAGGCTTTTAGTCGCATTTTATATGCAAAGCTCACCCATTTGGTACGCTGAATAATAAATAAAGTTTCATGCAAAATATGTATAACTGATGTGTAATATTTTGTTTTTATTTGTACACTGCGCTTATTTAATATCAATTAGTTATACTAATTCCATAAATAAAATGTCTATTTATGCTGGAGGTAATCAGCTGATGGATCGGGCTAAACAAAATACATACCGGATTCACATCTTGTTGCAGGAGTGCGCGCCTGCGCATGCACAAAAAACAACCACATTGTCAGATGTTTTGCAGAAAACCGTTTTGGAAGGTGCAACAACGCGATAAACAAACGATAAATCGGCACTAATTGAATTAAAAACAAACCGTTTCTGCACGCGAATCGCAACAAATCGAAGGCAACGGCCGAATCATCAGCATTCCCCGAGAGTCGAGCTTCCCGTCGCCCTGCCAAGTTTTTCCGGGCGATATTTGACGGATTACCGCCGATGGGGAAATAGCATGTGTCGTAAATGGCGGGTTTTCTGAGGAAATCGACGATATTTTCGCACTTTTCCAGCACGGACTGCAAGCCGACGTGACCGTACTGCGAAGTGCGCAGGCTCCGGTCACCCGGAAGACACAAGCACAAACGAGGACAAGGCCAGGACGGCGAGAGCGCGAAGGGCTGACGGTGCGGGCGGGTGCAAGGCGAAAGCTCGATGAACGCAATTAAACTGTTTTCGGGGATGATTTGTTGGGTTGCTGGGTTCAAGAACGAGAATTTTCTCGTTCGGTTTATTTTGGAATGGTGTCTAGAATGGCTTTAATGGCCTCGATTGCGTCATTTCTGCTAGATAAATATTTGAAAAAAAAATTACAGTATAAAGCCCTTCTTGATTTATAGGAAACAAATTTATCTAGTGCATGGAAGAAGAAAAAAAAGTTGTTTAATTTAAACAGGAATTTAATAAAATTGAAACGTATGCATTGAAAAAGAATACAATTTTTAATTATAAACGACTCAATAGGGACTAGACAAATATTTGAAAAAAAATTACATTATAAAGCTCTTTATGTTTTATAGGAAACAGAATTTTAACAAGTGCATAAAATGAGGAGATGAGATTATTAAATTTAAATAAGAGTTGCAAATGGAAACTTATGCAAAGAAAAAAGGATATAATTAAATAACATGGGATAAGATACTAGAAGAAAATTGATTGAACACAAAGTACAAAATAAACAAAGTATTATGCTTACTATTATTTCTTTTATACCGAAATCCTATCCTTATTTATTATGAACATCATATCAACCATTACGTTGATATCGGTATCCTCAAGCCATTTTACACTTTATCAACCAAAACTTTATTATAACACCAGTATTATACGACCTCATTTTCCTGCACGTGACTCGCGTGAACATACGTTAGCACATTTTGCATATATTGCTAGAATTACACTTACTGAACAAAACGTGTAACTAAAACAATCAACCCGTAGAAATTCACCTAATTTAATAATTTCTGCGGAACTACACACATGAATTTAGTGCCTCGAAAACTCTAAACTTTCCCAGTTTGATTAACTTTAACTTTAAGCGCTCATCTTTACGACTGCACTTTGATTTTAACTCGCGAATTGAATAATTTACGAAGCTCGCAGTATTTTTGTTGATCGGCAATTACTAAACTATCTACACATGTAATGGAAAATTGTAATGGGTAAATTGGATTGAATGCGCATTTAAATCGCTTTAATGAAACCATGGACGCATACTTGAGCATCGCTGTGATTAGTTATCTCCCGAACTCATTTGTATTGCATGGAATTATAAATTGTTGAATACGATACGCGGAATTGACAAGCATTCTCCGCAACGGATTTTGCGACCCGGTTCACGTTCGAATCAACAATAAATACAGTAATGAATTAACATGCGACAAATTCGCGCGATATCTGGCCGAAATTAAAGCGATTCTGTTTCGGTTAATGCGGTAAAACTTTCCTGGGCGCTTGTATAGAATAAACGGTTTTAGTCGACTTTGAGACGTGCATAAAACGGCGGAGAAGAACTTTTTTATCGCCAACAACTCTAATTACTTTCTGCGATCAATTTGAAACTCCGGCCCTAAATCCGGTAACAACATTAGCAAGTGAAATTTAACGCCAAACTAAATAGTTCACTGCACTGGAAGTGCCCTTTTGAGAAATAACTAATTATTTTATCTCGGGTCGGGTAAAGTGAAAAGTAAAAAGACCGTTAGAGGAAACTGGAAAATGTAGTTTAGTTTCCAAAGCAATTTTAATTTACACTGAAACAGGCTAGCAAGAGTAATTCACCCCTTTCCACCTTCATGCAAATAAAGAAAGTTCAATTTTTCTAGCTAGTATACAGAAAAAATATTCAAGCATTTACCAAGCTCTCATAAACATCCCGACCTGTCCAGTCGTCAATCTAAATTAAGCCAATTTAAAGAAGAAAAGGCTACCTATAATTTCCTCCCTTAATTGGACTCCCGCGGACCGAATGCGAAAAGATCGAGAACAAAACGCTAGACCGCGAAAGCTTCTCTTCCATTTCGGTCACGTTCCGAATTGCAGTGCCACGAAACAGACACAACTAGGTAATGTATGGACAAGTCCCAGAAAGTTTCCCGGAAAATATCTGGCATTAAGTCCGGGCGATTCTCCGCAAGAGAAATTAGTTCTGAAATATTAAAATCGTCGCATTACTTGCCCCAGAAAAGTTTGTTTTTGATAAACCGGCTCTCGGATCGTTCATCAAAACGACTTTAGAAGTGTCTAATAAATAAAAAATATAGTTCTGTGGAATTTTTACATTACACATTAAACAACATTAAATTTCTTTTTTATGGGATCGGTTTATTCAAAGTGGGGGTAGATTAGGAAATTGTGGAATTCTTATGGTTTGTATTTTCATCGCTTTGTTAACGGTTTCCTTTCTGAATCCCCATTATTTTCGATATTATTGACTTGCCGTTAGCCAAAAATTGGTCTTCTTAATGGCAGTCCCTTTTTCCTTTAAGTACAAATTTTTCGTTTCCCGAAATGGATGTTTCGTTCTGAATTACAAAGGAGAAAAAAATCGTTAATAATCGCCCTCGAAAAGATATCCACGGAAAAGTTGAGGGCGTGAATTACTGCCTTAAGTGGAACGGTGAAAGGAAATTTATTAGAAAAGGAAGCTGTAGAATTCTGCTGTTTCGATTGAATAAATCGTTCCTACTAAATTCCTTGATAATTATGATAAAAAAAATTAAGTACCTACACAGAACTCGCCACTTACTACCGTCTTCAGGCTGTTTTTAATAACATGCTTGTACTAAAGGGGGCGATTCTTGGGCCTATTTAAAGAAAAAAACTTCATATGAACATATGTCCTAAACGTCTTAACTTTTGAAATACGTACAGTGTTCAAGTTTTAAGTAAAAAAAAAAACAAATTTTTGTAATAACTGTGAAACTATTGTAGATATCTTTATGAAATTTGGCACACGTCTTCTATGAACCAAGATGAATTATCTGAAATCTGAGAAAAAAATGGTACGCCACTGTCCAATATTGAGCCAGAGAATCAGTATTAGCATGTTATTAAAAAACACCCTGTATAAATGACTCTCTAAATAATCAATCATTTATATTTACCCAGTATTTAGAAAACGATGAATGAAAAATACAATTCTTAGTACAATCGGAGAAACAATGTATTCGACTAAACCGTTTTGGATTCGGGGAAAGTGGGTTGAGCAAACAGCCATCAGAAAAGTAAGGAAAATATTTTCCTATGCATACGTCAGTCATCATTTCCAGGCACAACTGAATTCAGATTAACTTAAAAACATGCTCGAGCTCAAATTCCCGTCGTTTCCTCTTTATTTGCGAAGAATGAAAAACGAGAGACATTTTTATAATACAACTCATCCCTAAAGCTTCGTTGACAGTTTTATTCGCGAACTGAAAAATCGTCAAGATAACTGTTAACAATACAGTCACCGATAATGGCGCGAACAAGAAAAACAACCTTAAATACCCTTTATAAAATAGAAATCTTTCTGTTAAACGTGAAATAATGTTACAGGGTGTATCGTTTCTCATTCACCTATCAATTGTCTACAATTTTGTTTAATCCATGAAGGGAATAGTTTCGCAAAAAATTGGAAAACTAAAACCATCTATTTTCTTTCATCCTTTCAACTCGTAGTTTACTAACTTTGCACTGTTTTTGTTGGGCTTTCCCATTATTCCCGACACGCGAAACAAAAACGCTGCATATAATGCAACTTTGACAGCACGTCATGTCGTTGACGTTCTTTTGTTCGCGTCTGAAAGACTCGCAATAACAACGTGTTGTATTTTCCAGACACGTGGTAATTGAAAAATACGCCGCCTATATTGATTGGGTCTGTTTGTATATTCGTTTTCACTGTCTGCTTTTGAATGATACGGTTTCGCCATATTGGAGAAGCTGGATGGGTCTGCAGGAAATTGCGTATTCCTTTCGGTTCAAATAAAAATCCTCGATACAAAATGTTGGTATAGTTGATGTTTGGGATTTTATGCGAAATTGTTTTTAGTTACAGCGGAATGTAAATTTGTGGTTTTAATACCAATCGTATAATTTAAATTTGTAATTATATTGATGTATTTAGTAGGAATACTAATAATCATTCATTTAATACTTTTAGTACCACATAAAACAATTAATTTTCAAATATCAATATCAAAACGTTGTTTACTTTATAGTTTAATAAACTTTTTATCGGCATTCATTACTGTTCAGCGATATTGTAATGAGCATATTGTCATTAAAATGAAGTATTTATATAGGAACTTTAAGAATTAGGTCACCCAATCTCCACCTCAACTTTCGCCAAACTTTAATTAACTAATAAAATCCTCTGATTAAATTAAACTTACCTCAGAAGACGTCAGGTAACACAGTCTCGAATCTGCACTCTCCACGGACGCTTGCTGAACTATTCCATATCTAGACGATTCCCTATCGCTCATGTAGTCGGATCTTAGGCTATCTTGCCTGTCGAACATACCCCTTTAATAAAAAAATCTCCAATTACTCCTGATATAATTCAAATTAAATTTGATGGTGCAAAGTCTCCATTCCTGTTGAACTATACAGAATTTTTATAGTATGTTTTTGTACCTCTGTTCGAAACTATCAGTCCTGGCGCTCTTGTATCCGCTGTCGTTCATGCTGCTGTCTTGCCTTAGGGATGGCAGGGAATCCCAGGGGGATCGTTTGTGCCCTTGCGGCACGCCTTGCATGGAACTGAACGTTGAACTGCCAGACCTCCAGCCGTCTGAATGCCTGAACCATTGGGCTCTACTGGACTCTCCAATGCACGATGCGCACTTGGAGTTAAAGCTGAAAAGCAATTGAATAGATTAGAGAAGTTTTTATGAGCTATGAAGAAGTTAAGAAAGCAATTTCCAAAATAATAACCATATCAAAAATCAGTTGTTAAAAATTATTTAATAATTTTCTTCCGATTATTGCGATACCCTTTGAAAATTTATCATGTTTTTCCAGTTCAATAAGAGCCATGAAAAAGTTTCCTTCTATCAAAATGTTTTATTGATTAGAGTCACGTCACTCCATCTTTCGGAGAAAAACGGTGTTTAGAACGAAATTTAATGTTTTCTGAGTCCTATAAATTTCTTTCAAATCACTTTTTAATCATTGTAATTGAATAAGAAGAAATCTCACGCGATACGCAATAATAGCCGAACAAAAATATTAATCAGAAGAATTATTTGATGCAATTTTCCAGTTTTTCGATGATTTTTTTCAGAAAAATTTGATGACCATTTTTAGGCAAATTACCTTGAATTGTGATCGCTCAAGTAACCGCGTTCTCTCTCCCTTTCTTTCTCGCGTTCTCGCAACAGCTCGTTTCGATCACTGTAATAGCCGTCTCTGTCTCTATCGATTCGATCTCTATTTGCGGCGTTCAATCGGTGAGATAGCGGTAGAGTGGAGGATTTATTCATGGAAGCACTAGATGATGGTCCTAAAAAATAGTTGCGGGTTATACAATTTCATTTACTATTGTGGTGCATACATTAATAAGGGTTATTAAACGTATGGTAATCAAAATATGTCGATTTAAAAGGAAACTTACTCTTTCTGGAAGGATAGGGACTTCTTTGGTTAGATCCGGGTAAACTTTCTGCGAATTCTAAAAGGTACTTACGATTAGTAAGGCAATGTCGTTCCCTTGCCGTTTCTGTATATGACCATCAAGTTCAATTCAAAAATATCGTGACACATATCGTGATAGGTGTGAGAAAAGTGATTAAAAGTGACGTACGGTAAAAACGTAAATTGGTGATAATACAGAAAGGTGAACATTAACATCATATTATACTCATTTTAGAACATAACTAAACACATAATAACACGTAGTATTTACAGGAATTGTTCCAAAATGGTTCTTGAATAATTTACTTACGGTTTGTCTGTCACTTACCGAGGTTCTCCATGCTTTGTGTTAGCAAAGCTTCGAACGTGTGTAAGCTGTAACTTTCGGCGTCCATTCCTTTGGCTAATGTATTTCTCAGGTGCATTTCGTACTCTAAAAGCAGCCTACTAGTGGGAGAGCCCGGCGTCGGGGTGTTATTGGCGTTCTAAAATTCATAATACCATTAGCAAGTGAACTTAATTATATGCCCAGCACTCGCGCAATTAATAATCTGTAGTTTCAAATTACCCTATTACAGATTAAATAATGCCGCGCTTAAAAAATCAATGATATGAGGGGGTAAACAAAATTTAATCAAATCGTTATCGGCGATAAAAATAAATTGTTATTGGCGTCTAAAATTAGTTACGCAGTGACAGTTTCGCCGTTTTAATTAGTTACATTAATGATTCAGTCTTAAATTCAACGTTATTGCCTTATGCAAATTTCGCAAAGAGTACATCTATAATTCAAGCTCTAACCGAATTGTATTTTTACGGCAATTTTATAGCATCCACCTATTTCATTACACGCAAAAACACAACTCTTTTAATGTCTTCATTGTTAACGGTCTCGAACATTACAATGAAACAGTATGTAGAAATTTCAATAAGAGCCCATTAAATCAGCACAATGGCTCTTGCGAATTTTCATCGCAAACAATTCTTTGTAGGTATCAGCGTTATAATAAACGAGGCAAAGTCTATCCGGAACACTGACCTATAAAGCGCGAGTACGTAAACAGAATTTACATTTGTCTCTCGACGGGGAAATTTACGACGGAAATTCGCCAAACGAAAAACTTTACGATCCATAAAGAGATCGAACAGAAATCGCAGCGAGACATTTCGCGTAAAATGTCAAGCCTCGCGCCAATTAGTCCAAAACAAAGCAATAACTCCTTCACCTGTTGGTGCATATGTCGATGTCTTCCGTAGTGATGCGACGTCTGTTCGGGATCGGAATTCCCGTTGCTCGAGCTCGGAGTCGTCGCGTAGCATTGATTATCGAATATAACGTTGTCGGATGGCGGCGAGAAATCTCCGCCGGCGCCTCTTTCTAATTCTAAATACAGCCCTCTGCCGGGGTAGCCCCTGCCCAGTTCGTGGGATGATCTAAACGAACCCCTGTAATTGTACAAACATCGTAAATACAGCTAGTAATACTAATAATAGTTGCTCAAATTAACTGGTAAATAAATATCGAAAGGGAAACTGTTGTTTGAGGTATACCTTGATCCGGAAAATCTGGAGTTTTGAGCCATGGCAGATCGGGGATGCGGGTGTCCAGTTTCGGGTTCCGAGTATCTACCGTTGTTGTTGGAATGTCTTAAATGGTGATGGGTGTTGTAATAATTGTACCGCTTCCTGCCCATTTCCGGCGATGTGACGGGACTTTCCGTGCTAGGCATTGGCTTGAGCATTCGTTTCAACGTGTTACTATCTAAGCTCATTCCTGGAAACACAATAAATTTACATATCCCCAACCACATGATAGTAGAGAGTGTATCGTACCGTTTTCCCTATGCATATCCTCAGTGCTTTTTGATTTGTTTCTTCTACTGTTAATATTATTATTGACTACATTATGATGATGAGCGGCGCGCAGCTCGGCCTCCCTGACCATTTCTATGTCGGAGTAATCCACCGATTTCGTATTGGTGAGCACGTGGTGAATGTTGTCCCGAAGGGGCGGTCGAGTCGATGTCGACGACGACTTAGTACTGGGGCCCAGCGAGCCGCCGGCTTGCGTTCCTTCGGATTTCGACGATTCCGATTGGTGAGTTTGGGCTTGCGATTCAGTCTGGCTTATCTACAAAAGTACCTCGAGTTAGATTCTCGCAGAAAATTCCTAACCGTTTGAACCTAAGCGAATTCGACGAGTAAAATAAGTATTGTAATTTTTGGGTTAACGACTTTAGAAGTGTATGGAAATGTCCAGGTTAGCGAGTTTAGAGACGCGTTTCGGTTTCTTCTTTAATCGCTATCTAGTCGAGTTGTCTGCAAACTTTCGTGCTATTTGTTACATGGAGTGCGGGATAATGCGAATATATTACTTTTATACGACTTTCATTCGAGTTGCAAGTATCGAAATTTTCTAAATTAGAATATATGCGTTCCGCGTTTACACAATGAGAATATTTTTCTCGACAACATGTAACAATGTAGAGTGGATTTTACAATAACGTTTTATTTAAAGTCGTTTCGCTTTGTTTTGTGCACAACTTACTTGAGATCCAACGGAATTTTCGGTGCCCACTGAGGCAGTCACAGTCTTTGGTCCAGTAGCTGAATTCGTACCAGTCATTGTACTATTATCTAATTGAGGTTGTACTCCTCTATCTCGCATTTGTCTCGTTTGGCTTCCTTCTCTTTGTGCCCCTTTTGTACCTGGAACACAATTCCATTACTATCAAATTTGCTCAATACTCAAGCTTGCTTTCAAGGCAATCCACATTCCCTTGGATCAAAACTTCTTGGAAATATTCACCTTGATTAGATCCAGTCTGCGTAGCACCAACGTTGTCGTAGAGACTAGTGGAAGATGTTGCGGCGGTCACTTTTTCTATCCTCACTTCGGTATCTGTCGCTCTCGTTGTAGCTCTGGGAAGAGTGGAAGACCCTAAAAATCGAAACCAAGTTAGAGAAATCCCGTTTCTTTACTCAATAAGAATCATTTAATTTTTCCACTGTCAAAATCCCCTTCTGGTCACATTGTTCGGTTAGTTCTTTTGATTCTTGCTAGCTACTTGAGCATATTGAGGAAATTATAAAAAATCCCGATAGATTTTAATAAAATCGTAGTTAATTAGACGTTATTTTGAGTCTCATTAACCGTCGAGCAAAGTTATTTTAAATCCGTCGTAATCAATAAAAGGGGCATCAAAAACCCGCTGTATATCCTCCGCACGTTCGTCAGACGTTCCGCAGTTAAATTCGTGCTCACAATCCCCCCTATCCTATGATTATCCGTTTATAAATTGCCTCTTTCCTTTGAAATATAGAGAGAATAAAAAGGGATTCACTTGGTAAATAAACTGTGGTCCCGTGAAATATTCTTTTATCCCGTTTAACCTAAATTAACTGATTTTTTAAAAGAACACACACCAGCGTTTTGTGCCTAAATTAAATTAGCGCAACCTGCGAGGACGATGAACAAATACGAAGTACCCCATATCGCTGATGCTTTAATAAACTTTTTAATCGACTTTTTTACGAGGCGACGGAATAGACAGGACAACGTTCGCACTCACCTCTGTATCTGGGATCTTGCGCCTTCAGCCTGGCGTACTGCTCGGATGTCATGCACGTGCACTGCGGCTCCCGGCCGGACGCCGGCGGCCGGCTCGGCGACGCCGGCGTGCTGAGCGGTTTTCGCTTGCCGCCGGCCGTCTTCAATTTCTGCTTGTTGGGCGGCTCCAGCTTCAGGCTGTACGACGACGACGCCTTGCGGCTGAATTTGAACGACGGCGACTGCAACAGATCAGACTGCGTTTAATAAGCTTTTTTTTGAATAACTACCGAACCCCGGTTTATTCAGTTTATTCAACATTTTGCAACAACTACATGATTTGCGTTACTCTACTGAAGCTTATGAAGCAAAGAAAATAGTACAAAAAAATAGTGATACTTTTCTATCACTTGCAAAATACTTTCTTTCAATAGTTCTTCGCTTTACTCTCCCATGAAGCATTCCCCATAATACCACATTCATAATAATCCAAGCTGATAAATAAAAGAAGACACGGATGACAATATTGACAATATACCTGATGAAGGTAAAATGTAAATTTCGCCAGGCCAATCAATTACCTACGTGTGTCGGTGTTTGTGAGGTGTTTGCTCTAGTGTGTGACGGAATTAATTCGGGAGCCTCTCGAAGAAAACCCGGTTTGCCGAATACCGTTGACACACAATCTAACTATCGAGTTTGATGTCGCTCGAGATAAATCACTAGACGTAAATAACGTTCGAGAGTTTAACGACAACGCAACCGTTATGGTGATAATGGAAAATGCTTTAATGAAACGACGGCGGAAGCGGGGGGATGATTGTGTTAGTGGAAGACTTGTGGCGGTTTAATGGTCCGTATTTTTCCCGTTTTACTTGGGAATGATCGAACGAAAAATCGGCGCTTAAATATGATTAATCGGTGTAGAAGGTACTTACACAACATTCCCTAAATTGTTTGGCGTCGATAGGTGAGGTAAAGTTCAATCCCCAAGTGTCATTCGTCATGGGATCTTTCCAATAAACAAAACAGTCGGAGGCTTGTCCTATACGTGTACCTAAAAAAAAAAAACAAAAACCATTTAAGAATTTTGTAAATTTATTTGGGGGTTCCTGTATTAAAATACTTGCATCAGTAGAAAAAAAGAATTATTTGCAATAATGTTAAACTATAACAATAAAAATATATTAGATCTAGTCAACATAAATCCGATCATAAACAATGCATCCCGACCCCAATAAACCCTCCGGATATGGGCGACAATAAAAATATCTAATCTCGCGGTAGTAGGGATAGCTATTCAAATACCTGACGTCTCCCATAAAGAACACTCTCAAAACTCTAAATCAATCACATAAATAATGCAAAGGAAACACCCTTCCGAACGGTTGTCTTGCAGGAAAGCTGGCGGGAAACTCCGGGTCGCCGGCATTTACTCCTTTTATCCCGGTCGTATTCTTCCCGAAAATGGTTTTTATTTGAACGAGAAGTTTAGCATAAGAAAGGGAGGAATTGTAGAAATTGTCTACCCGCTGTCCGGAATTTTCGTTTTGCAGGAGTTTTTGGGTGCTCTCGAGCAGTTTGTTTTGTTGCACTCATCGATAAGTAGAGTAACTACATATTTACTTAAAATTAGTTACAATAACAATGTTTTCTTAAGTGTTTCTTTTTGCTTCTTTGGTGAATCCAAATTTTATTGGACGACTTTAGATTGCTTTTTCATGTTAGTAACGCGGGAGATTTTTGAAATGTAAGTGAATTTGGGACCTACCTGGTTGCACCAGCCGGACATCAAGGATTTTATCAACTTGCGAATTGTAAGCGGTAATGTGGAAAACGCATTCCGGGGAATCTTGGATGCAGGTGATGTTGACCGGCACCAAATCCTCGCTGACCTGCTGCCATTTCGCCTGGCCGCTGCCGGCCGCGACGTGGAAAACTTCTGCCCATAATCTAGAATCAAAAACCCGGCATTTCAATGAATTTTCCGATGAAAAGTATTCACAAACAGAATGAAGTAAGTCACTGGCCTCGGTGTGTCAGGTACGCGTCGGCCTGGTACAATCGCGCTTCAGCCACTATTTAACGATTCGAAGAAATTAAGAATTTCTATAGGATTGTAATACTAAATTACTTGGTATAATAATCCCTCTCAGCGGCTGTAGCGTCTAATTGGAAATATTTGTATGAAATTGTTTCATCCGCGTAATTGGGGTTTTCAATAGCCATGAATGTCAACGAATTTTATTTACTGTAAAGTAATAAACGAAATTTCGTCGAATGCGGGATATTCGGAAAAAGATCAATACGCAGACGCCTAAACATCGGTGTCGGCGATATAGCTACGCTACGCTAGAGTCAAACTCCATTAGCCGGGTGGATTATTTCGTTTCGGCGATGTAGTTACGCGAAATAAAGTCATTCCGGCCGAAGTTTAGTGGATTTTTATTAGAAAAACACTTCATTTTTTGCCGAAAGGGTCGACTGTTAGTTGTTTTCGAACGGGCCCTATTTGAATAGGAGCGAACATCGGACTTTTTTCTCTTTATTTCCACTGTTACGCGTATTTTATCAACTTTCTCGACCCGCTCTATATTTTATTTTAACGGTAGTCTCAAGGGCGCCGACTATGTTCCCAAGCAGCCCTTCATCAACTACAATACAACCCGGCTTTTTTGTAAATTCAAAACTTTATGATTTTCCTGCTATTTGCATAAAGAAAACTCAATTCAACCGCTTCAATTCCGAACAATTTATAATACCTACATGTTTTCGGCGGAGCACCTGCACCGCTTCTCCACCTCCGAAAAGACCCTAAACGTTGCTGGGAGAATTTACTTTTCTCCCTCCTACGTCGCTCTAAAAATTTAATATCGATAGAACATTCACTATTCACTGCCGGAGGCAACATGTATTACTTATCTGGGCTTAAATTTCTCAGGGAGAGAAGTCGAGATGGTTCTCGAGATTTGAATGCGGTGTCACGAGAGCAGGAAAATAATATTGCGAGGGCGTCTACAGCGACACGGCGTGAAGTAAATTTGAAACTTGAAATAATAACTTTGCTGGATAAATACCCATCAAGACCACGGTGATTTCATTTAATATAACTTGATTATATTATATAAAAGAGGACAGAGGGCAGGTTTCTAGAATTTTATAATTAAATTGAAGAGTGTTTCTCGTTTTAATAATGTGATTTTTCGACCTAAATTGTGTAAATCTCCAATTTTACCTGCTACACTATTTCATTTCATTCAAGCCCAGTTTAGCATATGTAAATATTCTTTCGCATTGCTCGGAAGATTAGGAAATGAAAGGTACGTATTACCACGCTAAAGATAGCTCGGTATGCAAATACTTCCAAATACTCTATTAAATACTTCAATTACCTATTCAGTAGCTGGCAGTTTTATGCAAGTATAACTTGTTTTACATTCAAGAAATGCCTGTTAATTTGTGTTTTCTTACTAACGCATAAATTCTGTTTGTAGAGTAATAATTATGTAGAAAGCGCAGTATGTGTTAATTTACAGTTAGTATAAAGTTAAAAGAGTACGCGGAAACATACCTGAGCAAATGACCGTCGCGACGTCGCGACGTCTGCCACGGCGAGTCCTCGTATCGATACGCCTTCCTCAAAATGGGGGCACACGAACAGCTGAGCTTGTTGCCCATGGATGCTGCCGGGCACTGGCACTGAGGCGCCCCCCTTTGTCACCACATGTCGCCGAATTCGCCCGTGGCCCCCCTCGTCGAGCCCCACTGGCTGCCGCCTGCGCCGCTCGCCCCCCTGACGCCGCGATTCAGTGACTGGGATCGCTGGTGGTGATGGTGACCGGGTTTGCCGTGTTTGTGCTGCTGCAACAAAGACAAACGCTCGATATACACAGGTGGACGGAGCCGTGCAGGCGATATTTAGGTACAGATCGAAGGGAATAGCAGGAGATTCTTAATACGGCGCAGGTGACCTTCGATGTTCTAGCTATTCCTATCGATTTGTTTATACATAGAATAAATAAAATACTACGCATAATCATGTTGGAAACATTGTCAAAGAAAGGAAAGAAGACGTATGAGTGGAAAGTTTTCCCATAATACTACTTCGTATTATAATAGAATAAATTTACATCCAAAAATACTAACGTGTATAGGGTTTACAAAAATAGATGCGGTAGTATAACATGTATAAAGAAATAAAGGAAATTGAATTTTTTGACACCAACTCCACCCTTATATTAACCCCCGGTTAAACGTTGGGCCAATAAAATTCCATATTAGTGTTTATAGCTGCGTAACCGGATAATAATGACCAGCACCAATTTATTAATATCGCAAGCAATTGGTGCTTTTTTGTTTGTATCTACAGCTCATTTCCTTGGAAACCACGGCAATTTTAGCCGTACAAATTCCATTGGCCAGAATTCTATAAGGGTTAATTTACCCATTACCGACCCAAGACCTATAAGAACGCACTTAGAGCCGAGAAATTACTATTCAACTCGAAAAAAAGTTAAATTACGCAAAAAAATCTCGACCGGCTAAAGCGTAATTTTTTTGCAAGCGAACGAAACGCCATTTTAGCGGCAACGAACATGTTATTAAGGGCGTAAGTACTTTTTGATACCGTTGTAACATAAAACATAAACAACCCATTAAATAGGTGAGATTTCGACGCGCCGTAACGTGTCTATTAGTATAATCAATTTGTCAAATTGGAAAATCGCGCGTTCGCAACGCGAAGTGTCAGATAACATTCAACTATTTGATGTATTACGGATTTATTGACTATAGAGAGCTGATATAATGGGATAATCGAATATAGAAATGCAAGCAAATATCGTGTTTCAGCGCATAAAATGTCGAAAACTAGGGATTATCAAATAATAAGTGTTATTTAATGTACATTTTATATACATACAAATTCGATATAAAATTCAGATGAAATAACGAACTTTTCAGTTACAGCTAAACGAAAATAAATTAAATAAAAGAGAGCCATTTAAATTGTATAAATAATTGAGTCCAGAAAGCCCAAAGCGGAGAGGATTAAGCGCGGCAATGATAAGAAAAGTAATGCTGGGGTTATGTAAATGAAACTTCAATCTACAGTATCAATATTAATTTTACATCTGATAGGTATTCAATTCATCGTTTTATAATAAAATTCGCGATCTTGCTAAGACCGTATTCGTTTGAAGTCTGCCAGCGCAGCCCTGCAATCGACAAACTGTCCTGGCATCAGCATTAACGTAAATTGCTTCTCAAACTTATTGCATTTTAATCAAAGTCGAATCTAATCATTCACTCTAACTCTGCTTTCTACTGGATTCCAAAACGTCTTTAAACGTTTAAGGGAGTAGTATTTATATTGGTGAATTTACTTACCCTGTTTTATAATTCAATTTAACTAAATATTAAATCTTCAAAAAAAGGACAATATGTATATTGATATTTTGCTAATAGTATCGATACGAATCGAGTTGCTATTCGGTTAAACGAATCGATTACGCCGATAAAGTCATTTCCACGGCACACGGGATCTCTTACACAAGCTCTGTTTATATTTTCCGTCCTATATTTAAAATTATGTCACAATATCACCGATGGAATACAGTTCGTTGCACTTCCTACTTTTACTTTTTGCCCGTGTATATTTAGATTTTCATACAGTAATGGCAAGTTCAAAAGAATATGTCAAGGAAACGGATCCGTTTCATTGTCCTTTGCACCACAAATTTTATTCCCGTTGTATCGATTAAAGTGTTGGATCAATTATTTTTATTTTTTCCAAAATTTCGTTGTCTATTGTAATTGTTTGCTATGAATTTTTGATAGTTTATAAGCAACGCTCGCGACGAAAACATATTTTTAAACACATTTGCATACTTTTCACAACACTCAGACGTTCGATCGAGAACGGCGCGAATTTCATTAAAATTACAAAGTGTCCAACGTGCCGCACAAAAGAAAACTAAACAATAATTTTGTCAGAATGCTTTACGTCACGCTATTTTTAAGGCAAATTGCTCAATACCTCTTTATGAGAACAGTGAGCGATCGGGTTATCGGGTGCTTTCTACATCGTTATTATCGCAAGTAGATTTATGGGCGATCCTTTTAAGGCGCCCACCTCGGGCAATCGAAAAAAATCGTAGGCATTTTATGCGAGCCGATTCAATTGCGGCGATTCCTCGCGGTGTACGGGCGAGGAGAAAGTGTTTTAATTACAGACGTTACGTTTCAGTCTGAAGTTGAGAGGTGATGTTTGAAAAGTTGAAAGTTCGGGTTCCTTCGAGTGTCTCTTGACGAGAGATTGGTGAACTTTCCGCTCAAAAATTGTAGCCAATTAAAAACTGATTAAACTAAATGTGGCGGTAAAGTTTTGGCACAGTATTTATATTATAATTGGAAAGCCATTGAGATACCGAGAAGATCCATTTACTACCAAAAAGAGTCACTTTTCTACTTAAAAGAATCAATTATCTAACTCCAAAATAGGTGACTATATTGAATCTAATAAGTAAATCATAAGTCAACTATCGAGTCTACTATTGAGTCAACTAATAAATCAACTATTGAGTCAAGTAATGAATCTTCTATTGGGTCTACTTTTGAGTCAACTATTGAGTCTACTAATGAGTTAACTATTATCTAACAAAATCAATTATTGTCGACCCAATTTAATAGAGTCAATCTTTTGGAATGCCATAAGACTTTCTTATGAAATTAAATGAGTCAATTACTTATTACCAACTTCTCAAAAAATAAACGTCGAGTATTACGACGCTTAAAATTACCTTTATAGATTTGGTTTTCATTCATGGATTTCCAGAGAAACACATGACTAGGGTCCGACAACATTCCCGGCATTGAGCAACACGAAACTTCTAAAATTAAGTTCAAAGAAGAGATAAACATCGTGTTTTGAATATTAAAACGTGGAGTTTAGGTGAGCTGACAAACTTTCAATCATTCCATTCAACGCGATTTTTTTTAGAAACCACATTTTTATCGCTCGTTTTATCAACGTTATGGTAAATTAATTCCATCTTAAATAGCGGGATTAGTGCGAAGGAAGCGGTTCGGTAAATCGAAACAAATTACCCGGCTCTTAAGGTATACGAAAGCGGCCTGCCCGAAATTTGAATATTGATAAAAAACAAACAGAAAGGTTCCAGATAAGCCTATCCACGTGTCAACGCAGCAATCATGGGAATACAGCATCCATACCGCCGTCGTTCCAGAGTCGTCTGGATAAGGAGGGAGGGGTAGCGAACGCATCGATCGGCAGCATATCCCGGCCGATGACGTCATCTCTACACGGCTCTAAACAGTACGTTCTATCTACTACAAGGTCCTGTTCTCAGGACTCCTTTTTACGTTAGATTGCCATTGAATGTTTATCAAGGCCGTCCCACAGGCCTATATTGTATGGAAGAGAACACCTTTAGTGGCGTTTATTCATTTCGTGCGAGTATATTCGCAGGTGATCAAGAAAATTTACATTAAATTGTACATGTTTTACTTTATATAAAAGTTGAAGTAGTCGTTAATGGAGCGAGTTACTTTAATTTTAGTAGCAATTGGTGTTTTTTTATAATTCTCATCGACATGTTTCTGCACTTCTGGGCTGTTCGAGATAATGGCCGTGCAACAGACCGATATCAAATCCATTATCGATGGAGTTCTGTAAATCGTTTTTATGTACACTGAGAGCCCACCGCAACATTATAAGCGTTTTCTTTCTACACACAACAATCGATCATCTATCGCATAAAATCAACAATAAAACGAACATTAATAATATTCGGAAGAAAAAAATCCTAAAAGGCCCTACCGTGATCGGTGGATGGTCATCGTTCATTCGAAAAAAACGAGGGAATAAAGTATATTTTACGACTTTTTTTTCATTGATTCGATTTTTTTAATGTGGTTGAATAACCATAGATTATTAGGCAGATAAATAACATATTACCTCTATTTTTTCAATTAAATCACTTTTATAGGTATTTTTCGGCTAAATTCCCAGCGTTGCGAACATGCAGTAAGAAAATTCCACCTTAGGAAGCTAATAAAGGGTAGTTATAATTTTAGAAAAACCTCCAGTGACAAGCCATTCTTGGTCCTTTCAACACTGTATAGGACCGCGTAATTGTCCTTCCTTTGTGCTCATTTTATAAAAGGATATAAGAGCAAATTTTGCATTAAAAGTAGAGCCAAGGTCGCGGCGAAAATCTCTCCAGACTTTTCCGAGAAGATTAGCCGAGATTGATTTTCATGAATGGACACGAACATCGATCGGGCGCGATTTTCACGCGGTATCATTAATAAATCTCTTTATTTAAATCAGTCGTTCCGATGCGACATACGTGCGGACCTCCCGTTTCCTTTTCGCACGGGAACAAAAAAGTTTACGAGCCGAACTCTTTAACAGCTTTTCGAAAAATAGAAAAAAAACCAGCAAATCCCGACATCACCATGTGCGGAATCGAATTGACTAACTGGCCGGTGGTTTCGGACACTATTTGATTAATTGGAAAAGCGGTTATTTGGTTGGAAATTCCATTATTTTCTATACTGTTTTTTTCTATTCCACCGGGCGAAATCATCGCGAATGCAATACGAGTTCCCCTCTCTGTAATTACGAATCGTTTTTTCCGCCGGTGATGACGACTCGAACGCGCAAAAATAAAGGCCTGCGAAATCGCCATATTTATCGCTATCATTACGGGTGCAATTGCGATTTCTAAAATTTCCAAAAGGAAAATATATAGGTGCGAAATTGGAGGAGCCGTCGCGCCGGAAACAAATTATTCCCGTACAATTCCGAATCTAATCAGTATATTAATGAGGCCTCATTGAATTCAGGACCTCGACTGCAATTTAAGTTTGCTCAAACAAAACTTTGAAGTTAAAATGGAGACGCCGTTAACTCGATAGAACATACAAAATATTTCAAACTAGACTGATGCGAGTAACATTCCCGCTTTAATCAGATTAAATTGCGCTTTTTAAATTTCCCGGATCCTTTTAATTTAATCAGCATAATTTAATCTACCCTGCTAGTTTAATTAACTGATAATTCGCTTCATAATTCCTTAGCATTCTATTGCAGAATGTACCTTTAACCGGTATTTAACTCGTTACCTGGGCAATCTAATTCGTTGATTTTTCCAAATTTCCCTACAATTTACGACCGGTTGCTTCACGACGATAATCGCCGGCGATTTCCCGTCGCCTGTATGGCCGAAAACCTGAATTTTTCCAGCCTCCCCGTCCGTGGCCCTGTCACCAGAAAACCGTTAGCATCTATTATTCAGGAGCTTTAATAATCAACCCTCGGCCGGACGCGAGCCGGCAACGCCGCTCGTTCCGCTCGCCATTTATATTACGGGGGATGTTTATGGGCGCTCTCGTGCGCCCGTAAAACCTGGCTGAAAAACTTTTACGGACCGCAATTTTATTGCATTAACATAATATTTAAGTAAACCGTAATTGTATCGGTCGAAGTCGATCGGAACTGGAACCTTGTCCTGTCGATTGAACGAGGCCGGGACAGTGTACTATTCTAATAATTCGCATTCCGGCTCATACATAAAATACTGACACCGTTTGGAATCGAGGTTAAAAGGGTAATGAGAAGCTCGTAAGGGCGAGCTTCAGGGAAAATTGTGCTTTGTAAATAAATAATTGCGCGCATCTTGTTAATCTGGGTACGTGGACGTATTTTTAATGTACCTACATCGAGAGAAATATCAAAAGATACTGGATGTGCTCAAAAACTCATATGATTTTCTATTTACACATTATTCACAAATTTTTCTTTTTTCAATTTCTATAAATATGATAAAAATTAATACTTAACTCCGCTTTGAAAATTTTAAAATACAATACATTAATCTAATTGAATCAGCATAATTTCCCTTAAATGTGACGAAATCATCCCATTTTTTTCATTTCTTTCGACCCTTTCTGATGTGCCCCTGTACAAGCAAAGCTTAAAAAAACGATTTCATTAGAAGATAAGTTACAATTCCAATTTTTATTTCAATTCCATTCTAAACTAAGAATAATTTGAAATATCTTCTTCGAGTTGAATTTCGTTCGAGGAAAGTTTTGATGTTTCTGATGAATAATTCACAGTATGGTCGTAAATGCACATTTTGTACAAAGGAAAAATTATGTAGGTACTTGCTAAGCAGAGAAGCAATTACTTTTTATTGCTTTAACAGTTGAGCTATTTTGCAAAATGTAATCTTCAATCTTCAAACATTTTATTCCATTTTAATTAGTGGAAATTTAGATACGAATAAAATGATTTTCTATCTCGAGTAGGCATAAAAAATTTACATTTCCATAATCATAGATGATTTTTAAACATTGTTTTTACAGCAATAACACGGATATCATTCGTCATAAATGCACGGTGTCTGTCAACAATTCCGGAATGTTTTTCATGTGATTTATCTAAAAAATGTTTCATTATAACTACTCAATAATTACTCAAGATAATTTTAGGTGTAGGTATTCAAAATTCCAGCAAATAATTTAGGATAAGTAAATGTATACGCCCCATTACGCCCGAATAATGACTATGGCTTAATAATTCAACCAAATACCATCAATAATGTAATAACTGAATTTTAAATTCGATTTTGTGATGATTGTTGTTTTCGCAAACATCTCGATCCGCAGTCGATCCGCTGCGGTCGGATGGTAAACTGAGAGGAACCCTGAATATCTCGAAGACTTGTAGTAAAAATCTTACCTCGAGCATCCCCCAATTTTGTGCGTTGTTCTTGGCCGCTTCCACACTACCTTTAGCACCCATTATCACCCAACACTCAGTACGAACTACGCTAGAAAAAAAACTACTCGAAAATGTGGCACGCTATAAGTCGGCGTTTCGGCTAATCTAATTAGAAAAAAACCGTAAAATATTTGGCACTGGATTTCAGTGATATGCACCGCGGATTCGGTCCCCCTCTCAGCGAATTTTCCTTTTCGGAAAAATTGCTCTGCTTTGGAAAAATTCGATAGACCAGGCCGCGGAGTCGGCTCGCGCGGTAGTTGAGGTCAGACTGAGATTGAACGGAGCGCCGGGAGAGGGCGCGGCGCCGGGACGCTTGCGTCGATTATCCTCGCCCACTCGGATCCTGGGGTGAGTGGAAAGAAGTAATCAAGTTTTCAGGTGGATTTTTTAATTGTCTTGATTTCGCGGGGCTGGCGTTTCATTGATGCGCTATTGTTCCGCGAATTTTATCCCATAATGCGGCTCCTGCGTGCCCCGAACGAACATCCGCTATTCACGAAAACGTTATCACATATTTCCAACCATACCCGAATTCATATAGATATAATTATTTTTTTCAAACAATTACTTTTTAATTTACTTGGTGGTGCAAGTAATTTATATACATTCGAAATTAAAGCTTCAGCGGAACAAAACCCAAAAAAATCCAATCAATTAATTCCTGTCTACGTTGTAATTTAATATCTACTAATTACTCGTAAACAGCCCCATCCAAAAGTCGTTTAAAATTCGCACTGCAAACGAATAAAACGCTTCTCTCCGGAGGACTCGGCAAGCGACCCTTTCCTTTCCGGTTCCAGCAATTCATCAATCCCGCTCGCTGGAGCCTCGCGGATCGCAGATACTCGAATTGGGCAATCACCCCGCGCAACGCCCTCTATCAATCGGTGTAATCCGACGGGCGGCTGCAACACCTAGTTCATCGCTCTATCCCCTGCAAGGCGCTCCGGTCGGGGATGCAATCGACTTTCCGTTCAGCTCCGACGTTCAAAAGATGGGCGTGTACTTGGACGCTTCAATGCCGATTTTAAGGGGATCCGGAATGTCCGGAATCGAGCTAAAGGTGAAATCTACAATAGAAGCTTTTCCTATTTTCTACCAGATTTTTGGTGTAGCGGAAAATCGTTATTTTACTTACTCATGCTATTAAAAGTACGGAGGAATTTGAAAGGGGAAAAGATTTATAAATATTGATTTTAAAGCAGTGGTTGCAATGAAGCTTTTCAGCAGGAAATTGTATATAGAGTTCAATAGCACGTTAACACAATTCAATCATTTTACCAACTGCGTAAAATATTAGAATAATAATCAATAAGTAAATTGAATCAGCTCTTCCAATAAAAGTACTCCTAATAACAAATTAATTAAACTATCAAATCCTGACTTACTATAGGTATCTATTTTTATCGAATCAAATCATTTAATAATCAATTACATACGCTGAACCATTTATCAACCAATTAGTTGGATCAATTCATCACGATTTATCAGATTACTTGCACCCCTAAATTCCTATAACTAAATTATTTACACCTTAATTATCTGAAAGCATTTTGATTTTTTCCTCACCCATTCTCTTTAGCGTAAATTTTCGCTAAATCAACGAATCGGTTAACGCTTAATAAATTACTTAGGCGCTATTAGGCGTATCCAATTCGACTGTTAAAAGTTTTCCTCGCATTAAAATCACCTGTTGGAGCTTTTTGTATGTTAAAACTATCCGCTCGCTCGTCGAATCATAAAAGAGCTTTTATGATCATTGTGAAACATTAAAACTTTTCCTTTTGCGACTCCATTTGTCTTGTTATAACTTTATTAGCTCGCAAAGAGGAGCAGCAAAGGGCTTTCAGAGGCGTGGTCGCGTGAGGAGTTATTAGAACGAATTAGTCGCGTTATATTTCGACTACGATTCCAGCTAGACTTTTGCCATGTTCTGCGAGAAACGGAGAGTATGCAAAATTCAGAAATGCGAATAAAGAGAAGCGGTTTTTTGCCACACGTGTAGGTTTAATATTAAATTCGAATGTTGGATGCAAGGGTCTTTTGGATGCCGGTTCTCCCGAGAGGAGCATCACTGCACGATTCCGGTAAATTTTAGATGAAGAAACTGTTGGAGTACCGGTTGGAACTTCCCCCGTTGACGTGCGGTCAGTTTGCTTTCTACCGCATATTGAATTATCAACACTTTTATACAGAATGATTCGTTGCAATCGCTATTATAAACCAACAATCTCAAATCTATCGTTAGAGTTCTTGATAAAAATAATTGAGACTCTATTTTTTTTTGTTAATAATATGTACTGTTAATATTTGATTAATCTTACCTATGGGTAGCATTACCGTATGGGGTAACCATAAAAGGGATCACCCTGTAGGGATATTTGAGCCGGCCTCACCCTTTCCCGCATGAAGCAACGCAAACCTGACCTACCTCAAGCCGTTCGAATGGTGTTATGTCCTACTTTTTCCGCGGAAAGGTTTTTAATCAACGCCTCGATGCTTTTGTGTTAGATTTGGGTCAATTTTAGGTTGTTCATCCTTTAGTTTGGGACTGGGTCCGTGCAGAAAGTGTAGATTTCGGGCGGAAAAAGCGCGCCAATCGGGCACGCCCCTATTCGGGCTAATTTATCGAATTTTTCCCAGTCGGCGGTCGGGGGTTGTTTATTGGTAATTTACACGGGGTTTTCGTGGTTATATTTCATTATTAACGGGTGGTTTTTAAATGGCGGTGTAAGCGAATTTATTTAAATAAAAAGTTTAATGGTCTTTTGCTCTAGTCATTCAAACAACCATGCATACCTACTATATTTCCTAATCGACTTACCTCAGATGAATAAATGTACAAAGGAGTTTCACTTTAAAAACGTGTAAAATTTTCCAGAAAACACTATTAGAATGAGTTTGTATCTTATGCACACCAACATTCAATACAGTTTATCTTCGTTTATTATTTAAATGTTCGTTTAATGTCATTATTAATTGCATTGCATTTTATGTTTAGGTGATTGTTTTAGCGTGTTTCATTGATTAAATTTTTCGTCCTGTTGAAAAACATGATTTTGTATGAACCCTGATGCTGTTGATGTTCAAATAAAAATACGAAATCGTCATAATACGAATTTATTACTAAAACAAATACACACGTAGGATTGCTAACAGCGTAAAAAATTCATTCCAAAATAATCGAAGCCAAAAATCTGAAATACATGTTTTGTGGTGTGGTAATGTCGAAAAATATAACAAGAAAGCTGGTATACAGAGTGCGGCAGGAAAATACAACAAATTAAAGTAACTAGTTGTAATTGAATAAAATTTTATTTTGTATTAATTGTCTCACCCTGTATAACGAAAAGCTCTATGTATATACAGCACTATTCTAAAAAAATATGAATGAATAATGTACCTTATACATAACAAATAATTAAATAGTGATAATATGGGTATTTTTTAACATAATCACAGCACTAGATCGACCAATCACTCGATTTATAACAACAATATCGTCGAAACTTCGGCGACAATTTTAATAATATATCAGTTTTGGATCGGGCGTACACCTACACTGCGTAGTGCACGACTCCGGCGCCAGGATAATGCGGGGCGCTGCGAGCTGGACTCCGGAGGGAATCAGGAAGTTTGCCAGGAGCGGGAATTTTTCGAGGTGCACGGCGCTCGAAGACATTCGGGTTTTATGTATTTTCCGTTAAATATTACCCTTTACAGTGCTCGTCGCGAAATACGATCCGAATGACCACTGTTTGCTCCAATTTCCGATAAACATTAAAAATTTATGACCCGATTTCCAAAAAACAAACAACTCGCACTAATGCACATTTATTTCAAGCATTACCATATTTCTTGTACCAATTATAGATATAAACTGCTCCACAAAAGTTAAGGAAGTTCGAAAATTTTGCGATTATTTTAAAAGTTAGAGACTTTTTGATCACCAAATTTTCAAATATGCGAAATTAAATGTTTTCTCTCATATCTAAGCGGATTTTTTGCCCCTACCTCTATAACTCATACTAAATTTGGCGATCAAAAAACCTGCCACTTTTAAATTAATCTCAATATTTGTGAACTTCCTTAACTTTTGTGGAGCAGTATAATTGTTATGCATAAGAATTTTCCATATTTATTAATTGCACGCATAAAAGCAATTATTATTTATAAGAAAAGAGTCCCGTGCTTTAATTTATGGGATACCGGACGTTCTGAGAAATGCTATCGAGAAGTAAACATTAGATGCGCGATAAAAGAAATCTAATTACGAATGCAAACGTGTTTGAATTAACGCCGACGATAATGAAATGAAGTTAATTATATTTATGTTGTGATAAGTCAAGGTAAAATCAATGATCTCATGGATATTTCCTAATTACTGTGCACCAAGAAAAATTGTTGCTATTTTAAGTTGTTCATTTTTGGAAGTAATTATATCATATTCTAAAAAATAATTTACAAGTAACATAATAGAAGATTAGTGCTTGTAACAAATGATGTAATGCTTATTCAATTGAATCTGGATTTTTTAATTATTTCTTCGACAGGGGATCCCTTCCTATTCCGATATTGCAAAAAAATTTAAGCCATTTATCTTAGTGTATCCACATTTATGTATTATTTTCGCTATTATCAATTTATTTTGTCGTGATTACATAATTTTGTATTCGAACACTTGTCGATAATTCAATTAGTACTTATTCTTTTATTTAGCGATTTATTGAAGAATAAGTCGAATTAAACATGTTGCAAAAATTAATATAAAAAAAAATGATTGATGGTCATTTCAAGGTTATTTGACTACAGAATTTATATTATAGTTTGGTCAATTATTGCAGAAAAATACAAGTAAATTTTAAAATTTAAAAAACTATTCAATTTTTCATTTATTGGAATGATTTATCTGTAATTAGGTACTACTCTATATTTAAGTGATTCAATTTTTTAACCATAATTTTCAGATTCCTCAACTAATAGCAAATATTGTATTATTTAAATATATATTACATAATTTAATTTAAGCATCCAAATTTAGTCTTCTATTTTAAAATAAATATAAAAATTCGTTAACAATAACAATTTACTTTTATACTTAACACATTAACCATAAAATGTCAGTCGTTTCTGGTTATTCTATGAAAATAACTGCAATAAATTATCGCGGCGATACCAGGATGCAAAATTCAATTTTAATCAATCTTTTTTCAGAATGACGTTCTCGATTTCAACAAATAAGTTGATCGTGACCGCTTCCCAAGACAGCGCTATAAAAACAATGGATCCGATGGTTAGATAGCATTTAGTAACATGAAGTGGTTCCTACTGCTGGGTGCTCTTTGCACCACGTGCTTAGCGCAGGAAAATAACGCCAAAAACGATAGCAGTGATGTGGTGTACCTGATAGACGATCTCGGTAACAGTTTCGGTGATAATGAGGCTAAAAAGGGACATAAATTTGGTTCGAATTTGGTACATCCAATTCCATTCGATGCAGCTGGAGATGGAGTGTACTTTAGGCCAGTTGATGGAAAGCCTTTGGATAAACCCCAAGTAAGCCTCTTATTATTATGTATATTCGTATTATGTATATTTACAAGTTATTGGTATATTTTTTTTGATTACATACTTATTTCTATACAATATTTTTATTTTCGTTTATTTGTAAATGGGATTTTAATGATGTTTAAGAGTACCTAATGTTTAGGCAATTATTAAACAATATACATATACATATGTATACAATTTACAACGTAGATTAATTCAACTAAGACAGTTTTTTACAATGCGCGTTAATATTTATTAAAAAACAGAGAAATGCTAAACATAATTATGTAATAAATTATAATTATCCACTCTTTGAATAATAAACATTGAACGTATAATGAATGAATATTTTATAATAATTTCTTCACGTATAATTACTGCATAATCAGACAAATAATCGTACCAATTGTAATGTTATGGAAGTCGTACTTAAATTACACTATGCAGCTCGACCAAATTCATCATCTTGTTGTAATATTTAATCTTCGCAGAGACTAATAGTACCTCCTCCAGTTAACCGGCAGAAACGAAGTCCTCACCTCCTTAAAAAACTAGGCCTTCTCGGGAGTCCACTAGGAGGCGGTGGCGGCGGCGGCTATGGTGGTGGTTTCGGCGGTGGATACGGCGGGGGATACGGAGGAGGTGGAGGAGGAGGTGGTGGAGGAGGTTTTGGAGGCGGCGGAGGTGGATATGGAGGCGGTAAAAGTGGTGGATACGGTGGAGGTGATGGTGGATACGGAGGAGGTAAGAATTGGGGTAGGTCCACACGTTGTTGGGTTAGTTCACTATACACATACACTACACAAATACATTTAGGGTAGATTTATCAATTTTCTGCTATAGTTAAAAATCTGTGCATTCATAAATCTACCCTTAGCATAACTGATCTGTACTTGCAGGTTGTACCTATAAACACAATCCATTTTTGAATTCTGATTGTAATGGTATTGGACACAATTGGGGTGGTTATGGAAGTGGTGGAGGAGGTAAAAAGCGATCTCTTTTTCCTCTTAAAAATTTATGATTTCTTGATCTTTACTAAGCTTGTTATAATTAATGGAGTATACAAGAAATGCCTGATTTCGACCAAAAGCAAGTGAAACTTCATTTGAAATCAATTTTAACTATTCTAGCTTATGATTTAGCTTCTGCTATGTATTTTCAAAAATTTTATAAAAATTTTTTTAGGTGGTCATGGTGGAGGTGCAGGCGGTGGTCATGGAGGAGGAGCAGGTATAGGAGGAGGTGATGGATTTGGAGGCGGCAAAGGTGGCCATGGAGGAGGTTTGTTCCGTGCACAAAAATTCATATTCTTTTATTTAATTGTAACTATTGCAGGTGGCCATGGAGGAGGCGACGGATTTGGAGGAGGCGACGGATTTGGAGGCGGCAAAGGTGGTTATGGAGGAGGTAAGTGTTGCATATAAACTAGAATCTAGTATATGTTATAAAAAAATTATTTTAGGTGGCCATGGAGGTGGTATTGGAGGAGGAGGTGGAATTGGCGGAGGTGGTGGATTTGGAGGCGGTAAAGGTGGACATGGAGGAGGTAAGTGTCCCCTGTACCTATTTGATTCTATTTTCATATTACAAAATATATTATAGGTGACAACGGAGGAAGTGATGGATTTATGATTATAATAGAAAAAGGTAGGTTTGATTAATCCTTATAACAAAAGCACTTTGTAAATTGTTTCATTTTTAGGTCACGGCGGTGGTGGAGGAAGTGGCTCTGGAGGCGGTAAAGGTGGTTACGGCGGCGGTAAGTTTAGATACATTGTTCAACTTTTCATTTAATAACTCTTTATACCAATCATTTGTAGGAGAAAATAGAATATTAACTTGCAAGCATTTATACATTATTTCATTGAGGAAAATAATAATTTTTAGGAAGCCACGGAGGCGGATATGGAGGCAGCAGTTCAGGAGGTGGAGGATTTGGAGGTGGAGGTTCCGGAGGTGGCGGATTTGGAGGTGGAGGTTCCGGAGGAGGCGGATTTGGTGGTGGCGGCTCTGGAGGTGGCGGATTCGGCCACGGAGGAAGTATGTTCAAATTTAAAAATGAGTTCATTTCAAACTTACTATTATGACTTGATGATTATTAAATAAAAAAAAACTTTTCACTTTCTCGAAACAGAAGGCGGTGGTGGAGGCAAAGGATTCGGAGGAGGTGGCGGAGATGGATTTGGCGGAGGCCACGGAGGCGAAGGTTTCGATGGTGGAGATTATCTAGTCGAAATTAGTCCTGGTAAAGGACACGGTGGTGGTTTAAGTGGGGGTGGAGGATACGGAGGAGGCGGCGGCGGCGGTGGAGGATACGGTGGAAGTCACGGAGGCGGTAGTCATGGAGGCGGTAGTCACGGAGGCGGTGGGTATGGTGGAAGCCATGGTTCTGGTGGATCAGGAGGTCACGGAGGACACTCAGGTAAAATACCTAATTGTCAGTAATATCTAAAAAATAGTGAATAATTCAATTAGATAAAATTAATTGAACTAATGTGTATGAATTATTTCAGATGGTGGGTATGGTGGAGGAGGTTGCAGCGGTGGTTGTGATGAAGGAAAAGGAGCCTACGCTCATGCCTCAGCGTCCGCTTCAGCCGGATCATAGTGAGTTTTTAACGATCGATAACAAGTGTAATTTTATTAATTTTATTTTTTTTAGCGGTCGGAAATAGGAACACCTATTAGATGTTTTCCAATTACGTAAATAATACAAGCTGATAAATTTAAATTTATACTTACCTTTTAACAATAAATTTTTGTAAATTATTATGGTGTCTTTTTCTTCACATATTTGTCATGTAGCACAAGAGCGTAATCGGTAGTCAAATACCTAGAGTAATTTTTATTTACTTATTCGCATAATTTTTTCTGTACCTATACACTTCATTATAGAATGTCTCGTGTATCTATATTTATTCAGTAATAATTACGCCGTTGAAAGAAAATTAAGCATGCACATACTTAATTTTAATGTAAATGCCCACTTTACTCTTAAGCATCCAATTATTTCAAATCGACCTTATAGCAATAAGTCAGTGGATATCAAGCAGATGATAAACATTTAAATATTTCCTTTAACATTTACCATTATATTTTCCGGGACAGTTATGTTTTTTAGCCTTTTTCTAGGTTTTCATTTTTTTAGTGAAAATAAATCATTCGAATGGAAGTATTTTTCTATGTGATAAGGAAAGCAGTCTTCACATATCAGAGAGAGGATAATCCTTTTGACACCGTGACCCATAATTTAGAAGAACGGGTTTCACATCTCCAACGGTGACTAAACTGTAGAAATACTCCTGCACATTTTCATTCGACGCTGCCGTTTTTACTTGAAAAAATGTCCCCATTTATGATCCCTAACTAACATGAAAATATTTTCACATAATTATTTAACAGATTCCTTATTATTTTTTGCATCTGAATAATTAATAAAATAATATTGGTAAATAAATTTTACATAACACACTTGACATGAAAGTAAATTAATATCTATTAACAACTGAAATAAAAATTCTAAGCTTTAATTTATGGTATACCGGATGTATTGAGAAAAGCTATCGAGAAGTAAACGTTAGAATGAAATGAAGTTAATCATATTTATATTGATAATAGTCAAGGTAAAACCAATGATCTCATGGATATTACCTAATTAGAGTGCACCAAGAAAAATTATTGCTATTTTAAAGTTGTTCGGTTTTGGAAGTAATTATACCATTATCTAAAGAATAATTTACAAGTAACAAGTTACAAAATTTATCTGTATCTATAACTAATTACTACTCTGTATTTAAGTTTTTAACCATAGTTTTTAGATTCCTCAAGTAATCAGTTTATGGCAAATACCTTAACATTTGAATATTACATATGATTTAATGTAACCATCCAAATATAAGCTTTTATTTTAAAACAAAAATAAAAAAAACAATTATTAAACTATAATTATTTCCTTTTAAACTTAACACAATATCCATAAAATGGCAGTCGTTTCTGGTTTTTCTAAGAAAACACCTGCAATAAATTGTCGGCGCCATACTACGTAGGATGCAAATTTATTAATTTCAATTTTAATCTTTTTTCAACGAATAAGTTGATCGTGACTGCTTCCCAAGAGAGTAGGTACTATAAAAACAATGAACCCGATGTTTAGAAAGCATTTAGTAACATGAAGTGGTTTCTACTGCTGATGGGTGCTATCTGCACCACCTGCTTAGAGGAAAAAAACGCCAAAAACGATGACAATAATGTGGTGTACCTAATAAACAATCTCGGTAACAGTTTCGGTAATAATGAGGCTAAAAAGGGATATAAATATGGTTCTGATTTGTTTCAACCAGTTCCATTCTATGGAGTGTACTTTAGGCCAGTTGATGGAAAGCCTTTGGATAAAGCTCAAGTAAGACTCTTATTATTAAGTTCAATCAATTTTCAAAATATCCAAATATCCAAATACATTAATTATTGTTAAATACGATACCATTAATATATTTTTTATGATTTAATGGTCTTTTAATGCTTTTTAAGAACACCTACCTAATGTTTAAGCAATTATAAACAGTAAGCAATTTACAATGTACACACTAATAAAACTAAAAGAGTATTCTTAATGTCGTAATATTTTATCTTTGCAGAAACTAATAGTCCCTCCTTCAGTTAACCGGCAAAAACGAAGTGCTAAAGGAGAAGGTAAAAGTAGTGGTAACACAGGAGGTAAGAATTAGGGTAGCTCCACACGTTGTTAGCATGACTGATCTGTACTTGCAGGTTGTGTCTATAAACACAATCCATTTTTGAAAACTTATTGTAATGGTGGACACAATTCGGGTAAGAGTGGTGGAGGAGGCAAAAAGAAATCTACAGCCGTAGTATATGTTTATGTAAATGTGAATTAATGTAAACAACTGAAATAAAAATTCTATTAATGGAACATTTTATGAAACTCTGACAATGCCGCAGTCAATAGCCAGAACTTTACATTTTCTCGATAAAACATTTTTACCGATTCCGTTGCGCTGTCGGGAATCGAGTCTCTTATCCCGAAAACTTGTTCCCGAGATGTTCTTGTCCTGTTCTTTTTTTAGCTGCCAATATATCTGGAGCAACTTCGATTTAAATCGACGCTCGACTGATACAGGAAAACTGAATCAAACGCTGCCGTCATGTAAAAGTTAATGGGGAAAAGAAAATACGAGGATATTGTTCAATTTTTAATACAAATGATTACAAAACTAAAGTCACACAAACAATTACTTAAATTAAAAGAATTTTTACAAATCACAAAGAAGCTTCGGTTATAGCAGTGAGCCTGTGGATCGATTTATTTTCCAAATTATCTGCCACTATAATAGAGATTATTAATTATTGTAACGTAATAAAAAATAGTCAATAATACTTACAAACTGTGCGAGTTTGCACTAGCAGAGGCTTTAGCAGAACTTCCTATACCGCCTGGATATCCGCCACCTCCTGGATATCCACCACCTCCTGGGTAACCACCACCTCCAGGGTAACCCCCGCCTCCCGGATATCCTCCACCTCCTGGATATTTACCACCGCCGCCTCCTCCGCCACCTCCTCCTCCTCCACCTCCCCATCCGCCGCCTCCGCCGAATCCTCCACCTCCTCCTTTTCCACCGCCACCTCCGAATCCTCCACCTCCTCCTTTTCCACCGCCACCTCCGAAACCTCCGCCGAATCCTCCTCCACCTCCACCTCCGAAACCGCCACCGCCACCGAATCCGCCGCCCCCGCCAAAGCCTCCACCGCCGGGGTATCCGCCGCCTCCGTGTTTATACGCGGATCTTTTCTCGCGCAATTGCTCCTGAAAAAAATTAGAAAATTTTGAAATTTTGGAAATTTTTATGATTTATCATGCATAATCTAATTATGTACGTATGTTAGAGTATTTGCTTAAAAATTTAGAAGGTGTAAATTTTTGAAGTATAGATAAAAATAAATTTTGTATGTACAGGGTGGCTCAAAATAATGAATCTCTAGTATTATCTAGTAATGATGTTTCAAAATTTGGGAAAAGTAATAGCAAAAATCCCACTTCAGATGAACTGTAGAAGAAATCTAATGTTTTGAGAGTTATTAATACGGGGTGTCACAAAAAAATTAAAATAAATTTAAATATTTTTCAATTATACCCAATGATTGAAGCTACTTAAAGAATGCCTATACATGTACATGCAGGCATATATGTTTGGTGATTAACTGCACATAATAATGAAAAGCCTATGATTTGAAAATTAATTGTCCTTTAGGGACAAGTGCTTGAATAGTATCTGATGCTTAAATAATTAAAGCATCAGGCTATAGCGAAGTGTTTTTTAATATAATTTACGTACCTCTACGGGCTTGGCATTCGCAGTGGCCAGCCAACAAACGGCCGCCACACCAACCACTATAAACCACTTCATTACTGGTAATGGTGCAAATTCGGTCCGCCAAATCAATTTATATTGTAAACCAGGCGGCGTTTTTTGATTAAAGGTCACAAATGAGCTATACCTAGGGAATTACATAATCGCCGCTGTTTGGAGAAAAAACTTGTGCAAATTGCTTGTAAGAATTATCGGGTAAACAAAATCGATTCAAGAGCGATTATCCGCGTACTTCGTATTTCCCAGCGTGCGAAAAAGTTGTTGTCGAGTTCAAGATCACCGCGAGACGTCGAAAAAATGGTTTAGATTAGATCATGAACGTAAATAATAATCAAACAATTATGGTATAAAGTTTTTACTTTTTTCCGGGTATGGAGATGAGTTCAGCGAAAATTGTTAATCGGGGTAAATTAAGTAGGGAATTGGTGGAAGCATGCATTACGTTAAAATATTTCTTATTAAATGAAAACTTATTTGAAGTCTTATTTCAATGACCAATAATGGATAATTTCCAATCTGGACGTCACTGGTAATAGTAGAAAATCAACCTGAGAAAAATTATTTTGGTTGTTATTTTTTTTATGCGAAAATGGTATTTCATACAACAGTAAGTCTATTGGAGCGAATTTGCTCCAAAGTAAATAAGGATTTTAAACATAATTGTAGTTTTTAGAAAAAGTAGTAAAACGTACCATTTTTTCTTCAAACATATTCAGTTCAAACCACGTACGGACGTCACTGGTAAAAATTTTTTTAAATCTTTTGCCTCAAAAATGCTTCTTAATAATTAAAATGTGTGTACAAATAAATTTCATAAAAAATCTGGAGTAATAGGAAAATTATGATAGAAAAGTTTTTTTTCTAAAACTGTAACAACCTGTAACTCGAAAACTAAGAGGTTTACGACATATGTACATTAATATAAACTTTTATTCCTAGGATCATCTAAATATCCACATCCTGAAATATCGGCATTCAATTAATTAACATTCTGTATAGTAAAACACTGCAATTTTGTTTTAAATGAGTTAAAATTTAAATAAATATTGATGAAATTATTGAAATAAGTTTATTTATGTATAATTTTAATTTATTTCTATGAAAAAGTTAGAAAAAAAAATCAAAAAGTTATTGTCAGAAGTGGGATTCGAACCCACGCCCACAGAGTGGACCAGAACGCTCGAAACCTGTGTAAATCAGGCAAGGAAACCTTGAGTCTGGCGCCTTAGACCGCTCGGCCATCCTGACATACTATCAATTTGTTCAAAACCTCCATTAAAGCTGCTTATCAATGCATTGAATAGATAAAATTAAATTATTTGTTTAATGTAGATATTTGATAAATTATGATTTATTTGAATGAATTATTTTTTTAATAAATATTAATAAGCAAAATATTTTTCATATTACAATAAGGACAACATTTTTTGATAAAACTTTATTGGATAAGAATAATTGTGTAAGACATTAATTAGGCACTTAGTAAATATTAAAATGTGCTTAGTACTTACCTATTAGATTTAATTGAAATTGAAGGTTATGTAGTCGTATAGGGGATATACCAACCTAACAAAAAATCGGATTTACCAATTTATATGCATTACGAAATTTACAATTGTAATTGTTGTGTAATCTATTGTTAGTTTTTTTTGTAAAATCTCAATAGAAGTTCCAAAAAGTACTCATAATTGAATAAGTACTCATAATTTATCTTCCTTAAAATTTCGTGTCTATTTTGTTCAATATACAGGGTCTTCAAATTATTTTTTAACCATAAATATTTTATGAAAACGTGTAAAAATTTAAGGGAAAGTAAATAAAACACGAAATATTTTCAAACTACTCTATGTATTACGTATATTTGGAATAAAATTTCTATTTGGCTGGAAGAAGTCATTATCCCTGAGTAGAAAAATCAGTCTATTGTTACGAAACATATACAAATTTTTACTAATACATTATGCAGTTTCTAAATATAACCAGCGGAGGAAAATCGCAAATATTCGATTTCGATGAAATAACAAATTTAAATATGAAAATGCATGCCACCTATATTATTTAATTCCCTCGGCTTATTTGAATTAAGCAGGAATTAATTGGAATATATTATTGTTGAAAACCTATAACCTTATTGCAAGTGAGAATTGCGGAATTATTTCTGCTCGTTTTATTGCGAATTGTTTTACTATGTAACATTTTATTCAAATTTAGTTCGATTTATCAGTAGGCAATGCATAAATTTGCATTTGTTAATAAGGAAATTTTTGGTTTTTGCGGTATTTCCTGACATAGGTTATGGTGAAATCTACGTAATAAATTTTTCAAAAAAAAATAACGCAATGTTTCCATCATTATCAAATTACAATACAATAAATTGTCTTAAAAATAGTAAAAATAAGTAAAAGAAACTTTATTTAAAAATTTCACAATGTAGGTAAATACTTATCTAATATTTCAAATATCCACCTAATTGTAATGGATCAAGTTCCTCATATGTATCATTAAATCATTATTAATTAAGTACTTTTTGAAATAATTATCTATTCCAATTATTTTAGTGTCTCTTACGAAATTTCACAACAAAAGTGTATGGAAACATTGCTAAGTATACATGATCATTGAACGAATTAATGTAAAGTCGCTTTTCAGGTACACTAAAAATAGAATAAACTTACAATTAGCTGATACTAAAAGAAAAAACCTTAAAATTATGGCTCTGAAAAAATAATATCTTTACAAAAATGAGGTAGATCGTTTGTGCCCTGCTACGCTAGGTAGTTGAGGAAAAAGCTTAACCTAGAAATTAAATTCGAAAAATTGAACATATGACTAAGAGTCCTAGATTTTGCGTAATTCGGAAAAACTACTTCTAGAACATTAAATAAAAACAGTTGGTGTATTTCTTATTTAACGTAGGTGTCTTCGATATCTCCGTTTTTTTTGTAGTAGACGCCATATTAAAAAAAAAGAATGTCGCAAATGTAGCTACACTCTACGAAAAATATCTCCAATTATAAAAAAAATCTATAAAAACTAAAAAAATAATAAAAACTGCCAATAAAATACGTCCAAAATAAATAATTTTATCATAATAAAAATTTAAAACAAATTTAAAAACAATGAAAAATTAAAAAAAATAAATAAGAAAGCACTCGCGCGACGTTCCTGGCGATTTTAATCCTTAATTAATTAAAATTTCAAGCCCGGAACGTCCCGGATACTGTTTTCGTTAAAATTTCAGATAAAAATTTTGAATTTTGCGCCTTAAAACAATGGTGTCGTACTACGTCAAATTTATAACTAATTTCTATGGCATACGAAAAAATATACATTTTATTAATTACATAAATAATTTCATTTTCTCAAAATTTCCCAAATGCCGCGACTCGTCGCGCCTCAAATGTTAAGTACCAAATTTTAATTTACAAATACCTGCGGAATATCGCAACACGCCCAACCAAAAAGTTTCGATTTTAAGCGGTTTCCAATTAAAATAGCGATTCTAATTTCTTAAAGCAACATCCCGCAGTTATTTTCACAGCACGATATGTAAATTCGATAGTTTTCTATATTATACAGGGCGAAGGTTCCACGTGTGCCTAGCTCGACACTCAATTTATTTTATTATAAATAATTCTGTAATTAAGCGCTATTTTAGCGCTCGTTTTACGAAAATATTACTCTTATATTTTAAGCTTGTTTTGTAACTGTGTAAAGGATAACTAAAAAATTTTGAAAATTATGCACTTATGATAAAGCGCATAATTCTACAATAAACTGTATACATAGGTATATTTAAAGAAAAATTGGGTTCTAGCTAAGCAGACGTGTGGTTCTGGAATAGGTGCCTACTTCCTGTATAACAAACTCCAAGATGTTATTGGATTGCACTAAAATTTTTGGCAGAAGATCTTTTTATTGCCGCCATGTTCCTAATCCAACGTTTCTGTTCATTAAAATACTCGTATAACTTTTACAAAATAAAAAAATCCGTAAAAATACAAACCAATTTGAACAAACGCTACTATCTTTTAAATATCGCATTATTTCTTAAGCTTAAGCAATTGACATTACCAAAAAACATACGAAGAATAGAAGTGATAATTAAGTAAAGAATCGAAAATTGTATGTGCTGACACCTAACGTCCAAAACACCAATTAATTGAACACATACGGTAACTCAGTTAGAGGAAATCGATCGATGCCGTTTTTCGACGAGCTAAAGAAATCCCGCAAACAAAATAACAGAACCGAAAACCGTCGAAAAACGGCATCAAAATTTCGCGATCTAGTAAAAACCCGAATTAAGCTAGCATCGTCCTTCCGTTCTCTAGTCCTTGCTCTTGGCCGTCGCGCCCGAGATGGCGCCGCAGGCGTCGCGAGAGCTCGACGCCGGCGAGGCGCCGTCGTTGCCGTTCTGCTCGCCGCCGGAGGCGTCGCCGCTGCCCGCCTTCGACGGGCGCTCCGACCTCGTGGGGCAATCGGCGATCAGGTGGTCCTCGCTCTTGCAGTTGTGGCAGCGCTTCGGCTGCGGCCCCAGCTGGCACTTGGCGGCGATGTGGTTGGCGAACTCGCCGCAATTGTAACACCTGAAGAATTTAACACAATCAAAGTTTATTGTAATAACCTATAGAGAAGAATATCATTAACCCAATACAGTGAAATCAGTAACTTCCTTGACGAGAAGCCTTAACATTGGAGCTACATTAGAAAGGACTCTTCCAAACAAGAAACATTTTCTTTATATCGTTTGGTCCATTTCCGATTGCAACATGGTCATTTCTATGAGTGGAACAAAGAAAGATTAATAAAATAACAGTTGTCAGAGTGAAAAGTTGCAATGACATAAATGTCATTCTTTCCTTTTCCCTTGTAAGTGTCTAATGAAAGTTGTCCTTTTCGCACCCATGGCCTATATAACCTATGTTGCGATCAAAAATGGAGCAACCTGTATAAGGCTGTTGTGAAAATTACCTTATTTTTCTAAATCGTTTTTTCGACACCGGTCTTCGATGGGATCCCCTACAATCTACATTCTGTGGTCCGCTGACTTTGGTTGCTTCGAGTCCTTTATCCGATATTTGGCACTCGAATTCGACTTCTTCTTCGTCTCCCAGCGATCTAAAACCGCTCATTTGTATGACACTCTGTAAAAAAAACAAATCGATTGATTTCATATTGTTTAATTCTACTTAAACATGCATGGACCTATAATGGTACTTTTATGGACCTATTATTAATAAATCTGGGAATATAACAATTATAAGTAGGACACAATAAAAACGAGTCTCATTTCAAACACTACATTTAACCAATATACCTTGTTATAACATGCTATAACAGAAGAACTTGATATTTAAATGCCATTGTGTTGTGATGTACAGAACTATTTAACTAGCCGATTGTTACGAGAAAATACATTTCACGGTACAGTAAATTTCTTTTCGATATATCCACTCGGACATAAATAGATTTCTGTCAAGGAATCAAGGACATTTTAAGACCGCTTTTAAAGCGAGCCGATTCTTTTGAAGCACATCGGCGAAGTCACGCCAGAATTTAACTTGTTTCTGTACCAAAAACTTCTCAATGCCGCAGGAATAACCAAACGAGACTACAATTTAACTCAGTTATGAATTTCCAAACAAATTATTAAGTACCTACATAAACTTATTTTTAATAAAATGAATTAGGTCGAGTAGGGCACAATCAAATATTCATTACCCCGCACATGATATTCTGATTCGGGCCATCTGGATTCACCGCAAACTTGTTCCAAAAAATCGGGTATACAAAAAAAACTAATAATAATGCCGAACATAATAAGAGCCAATCGTTCGTTACAATAGACAGGTACTTGCATCTATTATATTTTACCCTCCGTATTTTTCCCGTTTTTTACTAACTACGGGAACAGGTCTTGAGCAACAAGTTACGTTTGATTTTATTGTTATTCGATTTTCGTGATCTCCCCTCTAAACGCGCCACCGTGGATAATTTTAATACAGAATTATGCCCATGTATTTTTTATGAAATCTATACACATAAAAGAAACTACCCTATGATTTGCTACAGTTAATTTTTTGTACAAAATGTTTGATTAATGTTTCCAATTATGCTCATCACAGAAAACTCACCTGATGTACGAATACATCTTGTCCTCCATCGTCTGGCGTTATAAATCCCCATCCCTTTGCCACGTTGAACCATTTGCATTTTCCCCTTCTGAGGCCGAAGCTCGCTTCTGACCCTACTTGGCTGGCACTTCCGCCTTCGGAACCTACAAAAAAATCATTTAAATCATAATAGCAAACTATTAATAGTTACTGGATTATTTCTAGCATAACGAGCGACATATCAAATATCGTTAAGGGTCTTAAAAGGAAACAAATATTTACGCTATTACACCGATTGTTCTAATTCGAACAACAAAAGAGAAATTGGATTGAAAAGTTTGCTTGTTGCGTTAAAATTAATTTGGAAGAATTTCTACAAACTTGGGTCTATTCTAATCGTTCACAATTTAATTTTTTCGTGAAGCTCTAGCTAGTAATTTGCGGTAACGAAGGGGTGTAGGGCAGAATTACGGTTTTATAAGCTCGATCTAATAACTAGCATCCTAGTTAAAGGAAGCATTTCGTTAATAGGCCACGGGCAAGCACCGTGGGCTAATTATATACCGGAAATTCATTTTTTTTCAGGTAAATATGACGTTAAGAACACGAATGTACGTATTCATTGGCGAACTGACAGGTCCGTAATTTTGAATCGACTAAAGTTATTGAAAATTTTTAATTACGGCTATAGTAATAGACGATAGAAGGAGTATTATAGGTGTGGGAGCTTTATTATTTGGGTTCTGATGTTTATTGTTGGTCTTGAGGAAAGGTTCAATTCTTAAGAACCTACCTATTTAATTCTAGCATTGGTTTTCGTTGAGAGAAATATGATAAGAACCTTGCGGGTGTAAAATATTGTGTATCAAATATTCAAATACGGCCCTGTTCAGGGCTTTTAATTTCTCCACTAATAAGAAACAAAATATGGAATAGACCAGTTTTCTATTTCTACTAAACCAACCTATTTCGTTATAAACGTGTGTTCTATTTCACCCCAATTTGGGTTTCCGTTAGACATTCAAGAAACCCTTAAAGGGGTTGTCTATCTTCAAATCTCTAATTAACACATCCTGAAAACGTTGTAGAAGATATACCTACTGGAAAAAAATAATGAAAAATTGACAAACCGTAATTGTCGGGGCAGTGTACTCAGACCAGATTCTTGTGCATCTAAATGACCTTGTTGGAAAGCCAAATACCGAATGTAAACAAACAGAAATGCTGACTTGCCGGAGGTATGTGGGTTACAGCAAGAGCGGCACGCAGTACGGTGGACGGACCGCAGTCGACGCATTCTTGGTATTTCATTTAGTTAATTTAAATCACACACACACTTCCTAGAAGCTAGAAGCACCGTCGTCACGGCTCCACACGCACGAGATGGCCGCTTCTTTTGAATCGGTTTTACCGTCAGAGGGACCACCAGAATTTGCTTTTGCTCTCCAGCGTAAATCACCTCCAGTGTATTTTTTGGTCTTCAACGCTATTAACAATGTTAAGGGTGGTAGGTAGAATATCGAATAGATGTGTGACAATTGCTAATTTCTGATAAATGACTCTGATGGATCGACAAAATTTGAATGAGCTTGGCTAAAGACCAGCCAAAGTCCAGCCAAAGACCAACCAAAGACCAGCCAAAGACCAGCCAAAAACCAACTATATAAGAACTAACTAAAGACCTTCCAAAACTATTTTAAATTGCATGAAATAACTGTCTAATTTACACATAAAATTCATCATTGCTTTCACTCCTTCCAGTGGACATATTTTGATATGGGACGCAACAAAAATACGGGATATCTAATATAGTACACAAATAGTAGTTTCATTCATTTATTTTATCGATGGCTCGGAACTTTCCCATTGGCCCGAGCCTGGGACGGAAATTTACGAAACCCGTAGTGCTTCGAAAGTGATAGTGCTATCACAGATTACATTTTTTTGGTAAACAAAGTCGTTGAATTTTTATCGGAAATTATGTCGATAAAGATTTCTAGAAAATCGGTTAACGCATATATGTATGTAGGTGTTTAGACTAAATTGTTTGTTTACTATCTACATATTCTTACATAATAGATTAATTACAATTATTTGATTTAGAATTTTCGAATGGATTCGATCCAATTTTTATTAACAACACTGTTTATTTTGTCGAAAACCTGTAGGTGAATCCTCTTCTTCTTCCATTCGAATTTATCAAACCGTACTCGATTTAGAAGGGGTTAAACGCAATCGCAAGGCTTTTGTCTATTTTGTCGGTATAAAGTAAAATAAAAAAATAATACCCATATATGAGAATGCTCGAATAGTCGTTAGACTTTCCCGCGCTTACAATGGCCCGTTCGAGGATGCAGCCGGATCTAGTACAAGGGTTGTTTCGCAGAGGGTTGGTTTCTCGACAATACCTGCACCGATATCTATTTACCTAGGACAGCGTCGCGCCGAAAATGCAATCACGAATTTGAATAAATTAACATAGCCCATCGATACGCGCGAAATTACGATCGTCGGAATGCTGTTATCGAAATCGGGCAAAAATGAATGCCGTGTTACCTAAAATTATAACTCGACAAGTTCCGGTGAATGCTCAAAAACCGGGACGGTGGTATTGTTAAAGCGATAGGGAGACGAAATTAGGCACTAAAAAGGATGTGCGACAGATGTGACTAAAACTTTTATCTATATTCTTAAAGAATTTCTACTGACACTTGCGAAGAAGCAAACGATGTTATTTTGAAAAAAATCTAATTAAATCGCTATCTAATACAACCAAGATGTATACTTTATACAAGACACATAAAATGTTTGATGAATATACAACAATTATCGAGTTGATTTTGTTTATTTTGAAGAAATGGCAAGATCAACACTAAATAAGTTTCAAATAATTCTGGTGTAATACATTACTCATTCGGGAGCAGATAAGAGCGATTTTTGTTGCAAAAAATGCGATAAGATAATGGGCAAACGGCGCCACCCAGTAGCAATTACCGACAGAAAGACCTTTCTAGAAGAAATATAAGAACGATATCTACGCGACTGAAATACAATATTATTACAATTAATAACAATCAAAATATTTATGCTCAATAAAAGCGAAGAGAAACGTTTAACAAAGAAACATAAATTTCGAACGATTATAGATAAAACATAAATTGTCAGTCAAACACAACCCTAATAAATGATTTTACGACTGTCCTAATTAAAAAAGCCGTTAAATTTTTATAACATTATAAGAGAGCTCATTTTACGACCTCAAAACAATTCTATCAGATTTTTTAATCCCATAGGTATGTTCAGTATACATTTTCTTATATTTATTACGCTGTAATTCTCCAATAACGATTCAGATAATTATTTACAGATTTGATTATTGATAAATGGTTTCCAATACCGCAAAATGTAATCTCAAATTTCCCTTTTACTATTTCCTTTTACTATTTCCCTTAAACTAGTTATTACTAGTTTATACTTTTACTAGTTATTACGATGAATATTCTTTCTTAATACATGTAGTTGCACTGAATCAATATTAGTGCTAAAATTGTAGCGGGATAGGAAGCTTTTAATTTCCAATTATTTAAGTGCAGTTAGACAAATGAAACTTACTAAACTTACAATGTTACTTGTAAATTATTATAGAGCCTAGCCCTTAAATTGGATCAGTAATTAAATTTTTTTAAATGTTTTGCTTTCTAATGTCAATCATTTAAATAACATGTTACATTTCGTTGCACACGAAGAGTTTAACAGCTTTTGTACTTGGAATAAAGTTAATAAACTAATTAAAAAACAATATGTATTGATTAATTAACAAGCATTTGTTATTTAGTTTACAGCATTAAAATCGTTCAGAGTGGTAATTTGAGTAGTAAAATACTTGAACTAATAAGTTATTTTTTATGAAAATTGGAAATTTTGGCCCGTTCGTCCGTTCCAGCACTGGGGCATTTAAATCCTCATTCATCTTTTTAATTATAAAGATTTATTACGGTTTGATTCCGTAACGGTGGATACAAAAAAATGTAGAATCGAATTAAAAATATGTTCCGACAGGTGGGAAATAATCGAACGGATGAATCGTATGGATTAGCTGTTATTTCTTCGAAAATGTGATGTAAAGATATTTTACTGATTTTTAGCAAAATTTATTATTTTTGACCTACTCATATCCTATACTCTCGGTTTGTTTGAACAATTTTTATTTATAAACTTAACCATGCACTCGTCAATAAACGAACTAAATTCCTTTTAAAAACCAATTAAACGTAGTTAATCGGATATTAAATTACAATAGATGGCCAATTTATGTCAATTTACGCATTTAATTTAGACTTTTACGCATCTAATTCTTAATATAATTTAAAAAACGCCGCGTTTTCTAGCGCGCATTTGGCCGCTTCATCGCAACGCGCACTTACCTTTTCCATTTTCCAGTTCGCTCTCCATCAAAAACAAAATACTCGAAAAAAATATCCAACAAACAAATAATAAATAAACAAAAAAAAAAACAAACAAAACGAACAACAACTGACGAACGAACGACGACTAAACCATTATCAAAAAAATAAATAGTCGAGATACCCTTTCTCGCGGGCTTCTAGATCCGTACTACAGCTCTAGGACCCAGGGAACTTAAAAAATATTCGAGGCCAATGGAATATCTATTTTCCGATGGGTCTTACGAGAGTGGAGCCATAAAGCCCAGTTTGCCGCGGTTCGGTCTTCGGTTAGGCGCTTGGTATTTCATAGTTTACTATGATTGTGACTGAAGAATGCGTTACCATTCATAAAATTCTTTAGGAAATACCATGGGCGGAGACGCCGAGTTCAACGCAACGACGATGATTAATTTATTCGTGTTCGAAATGAAGCGGATCGCTCGTTGAGAGTTTCTAATTAAATGTCAAGGTACACCCGCATTTTTTTATTTTTTTCTGAAAAATATTTCCGGTGTTTACTATTTAATTCATTCGTCAGTAATTAACTAATCGATTCAGTATAGATTGTTTGATTTTTTATACTATTGACTCTCTTATAGGTTTACAATAATTGACTCTCTTAATTTAGTACTTTATTCATATTGATAACTCTGTTATAGGTACTTAAAACTATTTGAATAAATAAATTCCTCTCTTTTAGGTAAATTAAAAAGCTCTCCTAGGGTAAATTATAAGACTTATACGAGTGAAAAAAGTCTATATACTGTTCCACAAAAGTTAAGGAAGTTTACAAATGTTGAGATTAATTTAAAAGTTGCAGGTTTTTTGATCGCCAAATTTAGTATAAGTTGTAGAGGTAGGGACAAAAAATCCATTCAGGTCTGAGAGAAAACATTTAATTTCGCATATTTGAAAATTTGGTGATCAAAAAGTCTGTAACTTTTAAAATAATCGCAAAATTTGCAAACTTCCTTAACTTTTGTGGAGCAGTTTATTTATTGAGGGCAATTTAAAGAACGCCAATGAGTTACCTCACATTATCAATACAATCGCCATCTACCTATAACCTAATTAGTTCGATACCGAAAATAATTTTCGGTAATTGCTAATTAGATTAATTTAAAATACCGTCCAATGTACCACAGAAATCTAGGTATACAGTGTCATCTTTTTCATCGACACTATTGCTGAGTCAACCTAACATTATTAAGAACACGTTTTATTGCAAAGTGCCGACTACAAAAGTAATAAAGTGATAGTTAATTATTTAACACGTTTTAAAAATAGTACTTTATACCTAACAACAATAAATATCAATTTGGGGAGTCAGCAGTAGCGATATACTAAATAGGTCAATGAATTTTATATGAGATTATAACAGGTAGATATAACGATATCAAACCTAAAAATTATAGCTAATGGATTTTTTAACATTGTAATTGTACAACAATAATTAAAGTTTGTCGTAGCTAAACAATTTCTCAAATATTCCTACTCCTTTTCTAGTCAGCCAGGAAACTATAAAAAAATCATGCACCCATTTCGTGTATATAGAAAATGATATTTACCGTTTTACCCGCCCGTGTTTGGTTCGTTCATGCACCAACTGCATTAAATTTTTAATTTAAGTAAAGCTAAGGCCCCTCTTAAAATAAACAACGGCGTGCCACCGGGAAGAATCTCGAGAATGAGGCTTTTGTAGACACGGCGCTCGTTTATTTTTCAGTCGGCTCGTAGGATACAAAACGCTAATGCTGTACTGCACAGGTACAAAGAGAAACGTTGCGTAATGGCACTCAATTAACGGATGCATTCCATCTTGTACAGGGCGAGAGAAAAAAACACTAAAAAATCTAAAAACCGTTTCTTAAACGGTGTTTCTCGTGCTTGAAGCGTGGGTGTTTTGTGCGTGCAATTTCGCTTGAATTGTTCACGATGGTCGACTTTGTAATTTTTCTTATTAAATCGCATCGCATATCGATCAAATCTCCCACACGCACTGTGAAAATAACGCACCGGTGACGTCATTAAAAGACGCCCGAATATGATTGGCGGTTGCTTAGAGACGCCCTCACTTTGCAATGGCCTACCCCTTGGTGTTTTTGATCTTTCTAAAATATGAGGAATTCTGGAATAGTGCGCAATAATGCGAAATAAACTAATCCATTTTGGCCAAACGTACCCCAACAATAACGCATTATTTATGTATGTTTCTTGAGTATAGTGTTCTCAAAGTTTGTATTAGAAATGTTTATAAGAAATATAGAAAACATAGAGCTGTATTAGGAAATAAAATGGCGTTGTTAACCTATCAAATAAAACAATTACGAGGCCACACATTTCAGATAAGTTATCGCTTACTTCTTGACGCTATTATAGAGTGAAAGACATTTTGTTTATATGAAAGCCTGACGACTGCAATTGTCTCAGGAAAACATGGAAATTAAATAAACTGTCTATTTAGAAATTAAAATTCCTTTATCTAAATCAACCTCTACCACTAACATTAACGAATTAATATAATTTAGGAAACCACGATTGGCTACTTTCAACTTTTAAGGAAAAATCAATTTATTTTTATAGTCATCAAATTTAAATTAGACAAAATTAATGACTATTTAATTCACTTGTGTGAACGTTTGTTTTTTGTATTCATTTAGATACGGTCTAAAAGGTTGCTGGAAAATGATATTTAAATTTAGTTATGTTATTGAGATTATTGTGTGAACGTAGGACGCGTTGTATGGGAGAGTGTTGTTGCCGGAAATGCATGTTTTCTTCGTAGAATCCGTTCCTACGAGGCGTTTTAGTGCAGATGGCACGAACAAAGTCAAAGGAACTCGAAAATGGTTTCTTCCTTATCTCCCGTTCTTACTGCGCAGTGTTTCTGATAATATTTTATATCGCAATATGGGGGAACTGTGTAGCGCATTATTCAGTGACGGAGAACTAAAAATTTCAAGCAATTAAGGAATAATAACAATGCACTGTCAAATATGGGCTCATAAGTTTTGTAGGGTATAATCATCAGTATTTTAATTGTGAGAAATTTTTGGATTTGTCTTTTGTATAGCGACTACGCTGGTGTAAATAATTTCTTTAAACGTTTAACACGTTGGATGTATACCATGTGGATGACATATACCCACAGCTATATCCTCAAGTAACGAAAATGATAAGTATTCTCTTATATCTCCAAGAGTTTTTTATCTTCAGTTTGTTCTTTTTTATACCACAAAGGCTTTCAAATCCATGTAGCTTTGTTAGATTCTAGTTTTGAACACCCCTTATGGCAATAACTTATAAAAGGGATATTTGCAATTTTGGTGGTTGCGCAAAAATTTTACATTTTGGCGATGAAGTTAGCTAATTTAAAAAAAATACATACCATTCTCCGCTCTGGAATGGGACATTTCCACACCGCTATCCTCATCTGCTGTAACTACTGTCATCGAATCCTAAAAATGCAAATAATAAATTATTAAATTAATAAATGCTTAACTTTTCTGTTAAAACTTTTGTCCTGAATAAATATATCTATTTTTACAAATGTTTTTAAAGTATAGGTAGATACCTATATCTATTTTATATCTAGCTTTTATCTAGCTACTGATGGTATATAAATACTTATATTTACTTATGTTGGGAAATGTAGATAAATGAATTTATAATGTGCATTCAAAATATTCGAACTTTATATTCGATTTTTATATTTACCTCTATCCTAGGATTAAAATATAATAAATAATCCTCGTTTTTGGTACAATTTTCAACCAGTTTAATTTTTGAAAATAACAAATTTCTCTTATCAGTGCGGATTGAAAATATTAAAACTACTTTAATCTTCTATTTATTTTAAGTAGGTACGAGTTTATAAAAAAATCGAACATATTAATTTATTTATAATATCTATATTATAGTACCTAAGTCAACAAGGTCTCTTTTATGTTAATTAAATTTTGATATATGTATACTTACAAATTAATCTGCGCGTAGGTATTCTTCAAAAAAATATAAAGACCAAAATTAAATTAATTATAAACAAAACAAACACCTCCAAACAAACGCCGGTAACTTTTACATCACCAAATCATTCTAATATTTCTAGCATCAGTACCATCAACCGAACTGCACTACAACAAACTAGGTATACCAACCGAAAAACTCGAAACCGTTCCGAATGGGTAACAAAATTACAAATTTTCGAAAAGGGCAGGTAAAAAAAGGAAACAAAAGTCCGGCAACAGCCTACTATTATTTGACATCCGACTGGAGCATGTTGTGAACTTGAATCTTAGTCGGCCCTGACGGCACACGCGGTTCACGCACTAATCCACCGCCCGTTCTCCCCCGCCGAAATCCGGGGGTTGTTGGGCTGGTGTGCGTATATACCTACCCCGGGCTTTCCTTCAAAACGCGCAAATTTTAGATTCGGTGTGAAAGGAACTGGACCGAATGGCTTCGGCTCTCGACTTTTGTTCCTATACACTGAGAAAAATGCTTTCACTATACGCACACCTACCTACAGGCTAACTTTGGTTTTTTTGAGATTTTTCGATATCTAGATGATGAGGTGTTTTTGATTTGAGGTGAAAAATACAGTGCATCTCTGATGGATGCTTTATTACTGACGAGAGGAAAAAATAGTTATAATTTTAGTCCTTTTTGTCGAAAAAATAAGTTTGCCATATTAAAATCTTGATTCTGAAATACATGGTGTTAATCTAAATAAATTAAGACATCAAATTGCTTCAAGGGAGAAGTAAGTATATTAGGTAGATATTATTTATTATTTTTATAATACTATAAAGTAAGTCTAAATAAGATAAAAATACTGACACGCGCACATAAATAAAATCAGTGACATTATAACTTAATTGGCTATCTCATATTCTTTATAACTTGTACTTATTTTTTTACTTATATAGGTTTTAAGGAAATATGCTTATAATCTATATTATTCGAAATAAATTTTAAAAGTTAGTATTTTGAGTTGAAATTTTGACAGAAACAACTTATTGTTTTATATAGGGTGTTAATTAATTGAGTGTCGATACCTCTACTTCAGGATGTGAACAATTTGGATGATTTTAAGAAGAAAAGTTTATATCAATATAATGTCCTAAACCTCTTAAATATGAGGTTTTCGAGCTACATGGTGTTACAATTTTAGAATTTAGAATAAAAAAACTTCATCATTTTCTTATTACTCCAGATATATTTTTATAAAATTTTGTAAACATTTTTTAATTATTAAGGAGCATTTTTTGAGGCAGAAGATTTTTTAAAATTTTTACCAGTGACGTCCGTACGGGGTTTGAACTGAATATGTTTGAAGAAAAAATGGTACGTTTTACTACTTTTTATCACTGCTTTTTCTAAAAACCAAAATTATTTTGAAAATCCTTATTTATTTTGGGACAAATTCGGTCAGAAAGACTTACTTTCGTACCGATGCAACATACTTTCGTGTAAAAAAATAAAAAGCAAATCAATTTTTCCCAATTCATTGAGACTGCTTTTGATATTTTTTGTTGAAATTAGGTAGGCGCCCACCATGCATGGAAACGCTTTTTTTCCGCGGGCGGACAAAAATCTACTACCTTCTATTTTCAGTGACGTCTACATTCGAAAATTCATAAAATATCTGTACCTAGTAGAAAATTATAATAGAAAAGTTATTTCTTTTTTAAATCTGTAACACACTTATTTAGTTAGAAAACTAAGAACCTGGTATAAAATTTTCTTCTTAAAATCATTCAAATATTCACTTCCTGAAGTATCAGCATTCAATTAATTAACATCCCTGTATTCATAATTTACTCTGAAAATGTTTAATTTCTAATGGTATATTAGTTTCTTGGCTCATTTAATAATGTTTCTTAATGTTTTAATGTTTCAGCGACACCCTATAGACATTTCAGTAGGACTTTTTATAAGTAATGGCTTTTCTTCATCTCCATCATGGGACACATTGCACCTATTGCAGGTATTTATTCCTAATAAAAACCAAAAAAAATATCTCTGAATCTACTGAAAAAATTAAAAAACAAAAATGCAGCATCAGCCGCGCGATTCCGCTATTTTAAATCATTCATCTGCCCGCGTTTCGCCGACAAAATGGCGAGAGTGCAAGTGCGCGTTTTTTATTCATTATTTGCTCGCCGTTTAAGTCGGAATTCTCGATGGGGAACAAACAAGCCGGTTCATTGATGTCGACATCGGAGGCCGTAACGGTGGGAGTGGAAACCTCTCGTTTTATAACATTTCATACCCACGAAAACAACGAATGACGCGTCCAAATTCTGCGGATCGGATTTTCGATAATCGAACGAATACCTGTTTGATTATAAATGCTCGTTCCGAGTATTTTGATTCATGAAATTTTGAATGATGTTGCGTGAATACGGTGAATAATAAATCCATCAGCAGTTGAAATTTTGCTATATTAGGTGATGTTTATGATGCTTTATTACTCTATACGAACTGGAATTTTACTATACAACTTTACAATATTATTCGTAATGACTAGATACCTACACCCAAAGACATTTGGCCCGATATTCAGCGCATCTCTTTAACTTTAGAGTGACTCTAAAGTCGCGTCTTTAACTTGACAGATTTACGAGTATATTGTTGTTATGGAGTACCTAACTAAGGACTCGAGACGCGACTTTAGAGTCACTGGCCCTTATTCAGCGCCTCTGTTTAAATTTACAGTGACTCTAAAGTCGCTTCTCGAGTCCCTAGTTACTCCATAACAACAATGTAAATCTGTCAAGTTAAAGACGCGACTTTATAAAGTCACTCTATAGTTAAACAGAGGCGCTGAATACGGGTCATTATAACAACTAATCTTATTGTTAGTTATAATATCTTTGCCTACACCAGAATATTTGGAAACTTTTGAAGCTTTCTCGTACGACATTTTTATTTATTTGTAGGTATACTTCTCGCTTATAAAGTTGAAACTTTTGAGTACCTACCTATACCTTATACCAAATTATTATTTTCTTCTCTTCTAACGAATAAAATATGAGGTAATAACTAATTAACGACTAAATTTTCAGAAAAACTATATAAAGCAATAGTTAACAAAAACGGCCCAATTATTCCCGTTTTTTTTTCATCGAAACGCGCATTTCTAGCCCAAATATATCGCTAAGTAGCCATCACGGGGGTTCCTACCCCATTGTTATCCCGTCGAATCTAGCCGGCCGGTCATCAGCATGGCCACCCCAGCATCCCTTGACATGTGACTGACAGCATTGTTGCAACGCATATTTTCGAGATAAAAGTAAAAGTACGAACCTAAGTGCTTTTGACATCGGCAAACAATTAACGCATTTTTGCATATTGTGAAAGCTGTCTGCATATGTTTTCTAAAGCGAGGGAGCTTGCTCCAAAAGCACCGAGTTTGCTTAGTTTTCCTAACGAAAAAAAAAAAACGTTTGTTTCTTTTTGTATACCTACATAATTTGAAAACATATAGCATGACTGGCTTTGATAATGTTACATTGTGTGGAGACATACTGTATTTTATATTCATTTCATACTATGCAGGATTTTTATATAACATGTGAAAACTAAAATGTGTAAACTAAAATATGCACTAAAATGTGCATATGAGACCATTTTATGAGGCATCAGTTTTGGAATAAATCAAAGTTTCTCATAAAAAATTATAACAACAATCGAACTAATTTCGCCCAGATTACACCCAGCAAAATAAAATAGAGAGATTGCCCTGAATAGAGAGATTATCATGGGTCGTGCCCCATTGGAAAATATTTGTATCCTCGTGCGCAAAAAACCTTTTGTGCCGCCTGACCGTTGGCCCTCTCGCAATTTTTTGCGCCGTTTTTTATAACGACGCCGTGAAAAAAAACCGAGGCAGACGGACACGTGAATCTCCACGCGCCCCCGTTAATTCTTCCGCAAATATTTAAGGCCGGAACCTTTTGTGCAACTCGATATCTTCAATTAGTTGGGAAATGCGGCGCTTGGGCAAGCGATTTGAGAATATAGGAACTCCGGTTTTCGTGTACACTCGATTAATCCGCGATCAAAGCGAACAAACATTATCTATTGGATAGCTTTACGGTAGCTACTTAAATAACAATGTAATTCTAAAATAAATTCTTCTTAATGCAATTGCTACGGTTGTTTTAATTTTTTAAGTATCATAATTTAGTTGACTAAAATGAGAATGTTTTAAAAATATTTTCGGAACCTTCTTGTGCATGTTAGATAAACATTCATTTACCTATCTACTATATTATGCGTAGACATTAACAAATTAAATAACTGCCCGCAGTCAATTTATCAAATCCGGTTGCGTAAAATGTTTAATTTAAAACGCATTTATATTTTACCAATGGTTTATGTTGGTTCCAACGCTTATCTTAAACATAATATCTATTATTTGGGCATGTATTTCGTTATCGAGAGATAAGAACGCATAGATAAATACTCGACTGCTATTCGTGTATTTCATGGGAACTCTAATAAATACCCGGAAAATGGTACGCATTATCAAAATTCATGCACTAACGATTTATTCATAATAAACACTTTAAGCATGTTTTGTATAAATTTGCGAAAATTTACTCGGGACCATTAATTATTTCGTAAATACGTCGTTGAAAACTATTTTAATTGATTCATCGAGAATATTCATATAATACGTATGAGCTATTGAATGGATCAAAGTGCTGTTCAAACGAAAGCGATCCTTCATATTTTTGAATAAGAATGTCAATCCTCACAATGCAATGTAATCCTGAAAACACGAAAAGCCCACATAGGCTATCACGACAAACAGCTTTGTTCAAAATACGCCAATCATTCTTGAATAATTAGCGTTATTCATTCATTTATTCGTATTCGTATTGAATGTGACGTTACATAATTTTTTTATGTACAGGGTATTAATTAATTGAGTGCTGATACTTCAGGATGTGAATATTTGGTTGATTTTAAGAAGAAAAGTTTATATCAATATTTGTCCTAAACCTCCTAGTTTTCAAGCTAGCAGAGGGTGTTACAGCTTTAGAAGAAAAAAATTAACATTTCTATCATAATTTTCTTATTACTCCAGATATGTCTATGAAATTTCGGACATTGACGCCACTGGCAATAGCAGAAAATTAATTTTTGTCCCCCAAAAAAAGTGTTTCAATGAATGGTGGGTCCCTAATACCAAATTTCAACAAAATATCAAAAGCAATCTTAATGAACTTGGGAAAAATTGTTTTGGTTTTTATTTTTCACGCGAAAATGGTGCGTCGTACGAAAGTAAGTCTTTCGGACCAAATTTGCTCCAAAATAAATGATGATTTTAAAAATAATTTTGGTTTTTAGAAAAACAGGGGTGTACCTACCATTTTTTCTTCAAACATATTCAGTTCAAACCACGTACTGACGTCACTGGTAAAAATTTAAAAAAATCTTTTGCCTCAAAAAATGCTCCTTAATAATTAAAAAGTGTGTACAAAATTTCATAAAAATATTTGGAGTAGGTAATAAGAAAAGTATGATAAAAAAGTTATTTTTTTTCTAAAACTGTAACACTCTGTAGCTCGAAAACTAAGAGGTTTAGGACATACATTGATATAAACTTTTCTTTTTAAAATCATCCAAATATTCACATCCTGAAGTATCAGCACTCAATTAATTAATACCCTGTAAATTCAATTTAATTTGATCATCTGAATTAAATTAGTTCCTTGGCCATTTCTAACGGTAGTAAATGAAAGTTTCTTTGGTGAAAACTACTCGAGATCGAATAATGTGTACAAAATTTTGCAGTGAATTAGAAAATTCCAGGTGAAGCGTAACCAATATTTGTATGTAAATCTCGAAGCTCACCTGGTCAGTCGGAGACCATCTGCTGAAGGCTGTCATTGTATATTCTATACCTTTCCCTAAATTTCGTGCAAAATCCAAAAGTGGGTAAATATCAATAGTCGAATTTCAAACGTCAATTAACCGAACGTAAGGAGTTTCATGTTTACCTAAACTGTACCTATACATTTGAAATTTGCATCATTGGCATCCTGCGAAACTATATCTAATATTTTTTTGATATGATGCTATAGATATATTGCAATTCCTTGTCATACTTGAAGAACTGTAGATAGTATACAGTGTGACCCAAAATTCCACGATACTCATCAAGGATGTGAATCCTGTCTTTCGCTTGTCTTAAAGTAGCAAATAAATCCCGAAAGCACGAGACTCAATGATACAACGATCAAAAAACCTCACCATTTCTCCTCCCCATCAACTCGATTTTCAAATACTCCGGAGATATCGCGAGTGATCGATACATCAAATAATAATTTAAGATGAGTCATGAGCAGGGGCAATTCGCCATTGGCCGGTCGTTCCCTCGTTTGAAATTCGCCAACTATTGGCTCGTAAAAAAGAGGGTGCGACGGTGTCCCCTTGTTTTTTAAGCGTTTTAATCGACCAATGCGTTGGAAGTTCGCAGATACAATCGAAATCGTCCTTTTTGTGTTGCAAATCGACGGGCAAGTACAGTCGATAGACGAAATAAAATGTAATAATCAACCAAACGGTCTTTGCGGGCGATCGTTGTACACTGAAAAAAATTGTTTCTCGTAAAATTATAATATTGAAATATTTTCCTTGAATATTTCCTCGAATATTGAAATAAATTCCTCCTTAAGAAATGAATAAATGGTGGTAATTGTAAAAAGAGTATAATAGATTGTTTACCTATCATTCCTGTAAGTTCATTATTAAATTAAATATAAGTATCTACAATTTTACTGATTTATTATCCAGGTTTACGTTTAAAATTATGCAGAATTTTTATTAGATACTTTGAGGTATTTAACTATGCTATTATAACAAATAACTGTAATTAATTATCTAATTTTAAGTCTTCAGTTATATTGTGAAACCAATTACCTATACTTTTTTGACTATCCAATTTCTTTTTTGCAAATTATTATTACCATCCATATTTAATCGTTATTAAAAGTTCTATATTGCATTTTATATAACTATCATCTTAATAATATAAATAAATTCTTCAAGAAATTGAATAATTTAAATTTAAACAACCTCAAAAAAAGTTGATTGGATAACCAAAGTTACACTAATATACACTATCCCCTTTTACTATGCAACAACCATTACACTTCTATGAGTTGTGTGTTCAATGGTTCTGTGGCACAAGTTTTATAAAACAGATCACTGTAATACAAAAAATATCCTAGTACGGCTTATTGATCACAGAGTAAATGGTGTTTCAATTCATTTCAATAAGAGGGCGCTAAATTCTTCTGCTTGTGGGAAATTCAAATAATATTATTCGAAATAAATATTCAGTTTATTGTAAAACATATTTGTGTAATAATTAGATAATGATTAATTGGGAATTCATCGAATTTGGTTTAGTTAAAATCAAACGCACTAAAGTTCATCACTTTAATAGTCAAATAAACATTTTTACATGCATGAGATATACCAAAATACTTTGAGAATTTGAGATTGGAAATGAAAATGAAAAAAATTGAAAAAAAACATACAAACTGTCGACGTAATTAGCAAAAAAATTTCTAACACTAATATACGATCTAAGTTATGTGGTGATAAAATTATCATAAAATCATACCTTTGTAAAATGAGGTACCCACTGTTTAGTTTATTATATTCGTTATAGGAAACGTGCATTTTGAAAATAAATTTTCTTCGTAAAAAAATCAATGATTGAATCTGGTCAGTCAGAAAAATGGTCCTTTTTGATTTTTCAGTTTGTTAATTAATTACATCCTTCCAGTAAAGACGAAAATTAATTAATACAATTACCATTTCTCTATAAAATTTAAGTTAGGCAATCTTTTACTTTTAAATATTGAAATAGAAACAGAATTGAAGGCTCTTGCTCAGCTCTCATCTATCTGAAAGACCATTTTTTTGGAACAAGGAAATTAGACTTCCTAAACTCTGCATATAACTATATAACAAAAAGGAGAAACACAATCTGTACACAGTACATACTGTTTTGTAACATTACCGCAAAATACCTACATTATTGCATCGTTAATCTGCAAAATAACATGTGATTGTTGAAAAAATACAAAATATACTTTATTGAAATTGAGTAGGAAACATGCATTGTGAAATTGACCGAACTGTGTCCAATGCTCTCCCTCTAATTGCAATTTAATAAAAAAATCTTAAGGTCATGTTTAATATTTAATTAGTAAAAAATAGAGAAGAGTTCGCACATTACATTTTGTGGATTAAATTTTTTTTTCCTGCAATTAGAACGAGAGTAAATTCAACTTTTTCGGATTCCAATCGAAACATAAGATAAGTAGGTAAATATTTACAAAAGGGCATGTCGGTGTTCCGTCGAAATCAAAGCATGTACAAAATTTATAGGAAATATAAAATTATGCTGTAGTAGGTACCTAAACTGATCCGTATATGTACAAACTCTAAATATACAAAAATATGTTTTTACAAAAAATATGATTGATGATGTACATATTTATGATTTAAATTTAAACCAACCGAGTTTAATACTGTTTTTTTAGTGCAAGCTGAGTTTTGACTGCTGTTTACTAATCAGAAGACCGAGGGATTACGAACATTGAATACATAAAGTGCGACCTATATCGACTGGTATTACAAATTTTGCATAAATTTTATAGTTTTTCACACGAGTATTTAATACGCCCTACACTTAATAAAAATGAACGCTATTATATTTTTACACGCCGAGATATTTGCTCGGCCTTCTGAATGAATCAAGCCTCAAAATATTTCACAAACATCGAAAATTAACATCACAAGCACCATTTAGTTTTAGTTCTTAAATTACATTATACACCGAATTACAAGATTATAAATCCGTAGCATATGTGAAACGATCTTATTTGGTTTATTTTTATTTGGATACATTCAAACGCAAGTAAATTATGGAAGCGGACATGCACTGAAGAACTGCGAATTTCTTAAAAAAACATTTTTTTTTATTTTAGAAGTGTTAGAATTATTAATGGAGCAAGATCTAACGCAATTAATGAAGAACCATTCATTAGATTTTAATTTAAATTCATCCTTTATTCCGCATCATTACTTGCATTATTCGTTGTAAAATATGATTAATAATTAATACACGGCATTTTTTACTAATTTTGAAGTTAATTAATGTACCAGTAAACTCTATTTTTATTGCACAAAACAAACATTTGTCTTACTTTTTAGTACCTATTATTTTTTTATATTTTTTAATTACTGCAAAATGCATTAAAAAACAGAATTTATACAATTAGCATCAAAATTAATACGAAATATTCACATACATAAATTTATTTGCGTTATTAATACAACAACCGTTTATGTAGATACAATGAGATTTAAAGCTCAAAACTCGAATATGGAAAAATTTCTTCAATGCATGTAGTCTGTTTTACAATAAAATACATTCGAAACCAAAACATTTCAGTATGAAATAAAATTATGTAAATTAATAATAAAAGTTCAACAATTTCCAACCGATCGATTTGTTCAATTTCATAAAATAAAATGTATAGATTAATTTATAAAATGTATATTTAACGGGAATTTTAATTAAAACACCCTTTTAAATTGCAATAAAAAATTGTAATAGGATTAAATTTTAAAATCATTTTAGAGTTGATCCTCTTAACAGGATAACAGAGGTAAACATAGCAAAAAATATAATATAGAAAATGTAAATAGTTTAGAATGAATATTGGTTAAAAATTGTTGACCATCCTAACATATAGAAAAAAATCTCACACCCAAATTTCTAAATCCTTAATCGAATTTGTAGTGCAATTCACGACTACAATATTGCAATATTGCTTTTTTCATTATCAGTCTAAATTCAAAATTCGGGTAAATTCCATAAAATACTTCGAATTAACAACTATCAATAAATACTAAATAAATTATCTCAACAGTAATAATGAGTATCTTGAGAGAAAAATCATTACATACAAAGAATTTTCTTTTCGTCAGTACTATACTACGCTCCAAATAGTAAAAATTTTAATGTTTCTGCAAAATCGAGTCGGGGGAAACCGGATGATCTTCAATCGAACGATTACTGACCCTTTCCTAAGTAAGTATAAGAAACAAAAAAAATGTAATTTCTAAAAATAGTAGCTAAAAATAATTAAAACCAAATTTTTAAAATCATCGAATTTACAAGATAAAAAAATTTCCCACTAAGACCCCCAAAATTTCCTCGAGCAAGCCAACCCAGTTCAGACCGTCCCCGTTTCCATTACGAGACACCGAGTCTGCAGTAACATACAAAAAAAATACGAATCTTTTGGAACACAGCATTACAAATAATACAAGAATAAATAAATATTAAAAAACTTAACAGAAACTACGACTACGATGAGCAGGAATAAATACATCTAGGTACACTCAATAATGTGAGGCTGCGACGACTCGATCACGCTCGGCCTCGTCTCCTTGCCCGCGTGCATCGAGTTCTGCGGCACCCGCTGGTGCTGGTGCTGGTGCCCGCCGTTCTGCATCATCGACGGCAGCGGCCTCGACAAGCCCGGATGCAACACTGGATGGGCCACTTGCGGCTGCGACGTGTGGATCTCGAACGCCTCCTTCGGATCCTCCCCGGTATCCTTTAACTCCGAAGGACCTAAACAAAAAGACACCTCAACTAGAATAATTCAAATACAAGGTTTCTGCGACTAACTTACCCATATTGGTGTCGGAACCGATAAAATCGTAGTATCCATTAGGGGAAGCGTCCCCGTTGAGTTCCTCGTCGATGTTATTCGGCCGGCAGCTGGTGGTCTTCCAGTGGGTCCTCAATCCCGAAGCGCTGATGTAGTTCTTCCCACACTCCTGGCATATGTAGGGCCGCTCGTTGGTGTGCAGCCGCTTGTGGAGCTTCAGGTGCACGAATTGCGTGAACTTGGCCGGACAGAAGTCGCAGGCGTAGGGCTTCTGGCCGCTGTGCAGCCGCAGGTGCGTCTTCAGGTTGGACGTGCTGGAGAAGCGCTTCTTGCAGATGCCGCACTCGTGCGGGCGCTCGCCGGTGTGCACCAAGTGGTGTTTCTGCAGATGGGCCAGCTGCGTGAAGGACTTGGTGCAGACGTTGCACTTGAAGGGGCGCTCGCCGCTGTGCGTTCGGAGGTGCACCTTCAGGTTGGAGAGCTGGCCGAAGGTTTTGCAGCACACGTTGCACTCGTAGTGCATCTTGCCGTCCTTCTTCTTCAGCGGGTAGGGCAGGCTCCTGTAGCCTCTGGAAGGGCCGCCGTTGGGGCTCGTCGGGTTGCTCGAGCACAGGTTCGAGTCGTAGTCGGCGCCCTGGCCCGGCGACGACGCCCTGCCGTTGACCTGCAGGGCGGGCAGCGGGGTAAGCAAGTGATGCGATACAATATGGCTGGTCGGAACTATCAGATTTGTACCATTGGAGTGATGATTATTGCTAAAATTCGTAGTTATCGGCGGAGAGTAGGTGTGTGTCGGAGACGAGGGCATGGTGCTGTGAACGATACCGTTCGATGGATACACTGTGTAATAGTTAGACGACTGCAAGTTGCCGTTGTGATAAGATTCATTTGTATGCGTAACGTACACGTTACTTTGTACTGGACTTGTAGCTTTCAAGTGAGCTGGACTAGCTGGTAGAATGTTGGGCGCTTGGATGTTCGAGCTGGAATCTGGACTGCAAGGCAGAGTAGAATACCTAATAAACAGAGAGTTGTTAGCATTTAGTTATTGAATAAAACATCAAACAATTACCTATGACTCTTTTTGTACGAATACGCCATCTCCGTGGGCGAACTAGGTGGAGGAGTGGCGTTACTTTGTCTTTGAGTGCTGTCATTGTTATTGTTAGTGTCGATCCTATTTCTCAGCAGGATGTTCTCCAAAATGCTCGACGATGGAGGACTGTATCTGGAAATCACGTTTGTTGTCTTCACCTCGGTCTCGTAGAACGGTTTACTAGGAACTTCTTGGGGCGGCGAATCCATCACAATTACCGTCGTCGGAGGGGTGATAATTCTCGGGGTTAGTGTCGTTACTTCAGGTACTGCAGCGTCTATGGTCGAAGGGTCCTTTTCGACGTCCGGTTCACTCTCGCTCTTCGCCGATTTGTAGTGATAGGCCTTCGTGATCTTGATTTTTACCTTCCTGTATTCGTTCTTCTGGTTCTCCGGCGAGACGGGCTTTATGACGGTCGTCTCTTTCGGCGTTTTCTTGCTGAAATCTAGCACGTAGTTGTTCTCGCTGTCCGAATCGCTGGAATCCTCCGGCGGCGTGAAAACGTCGTCGTGGTACTCGTTGCTGTGGTAGCCTTCGTCCGATCGAACGCTTCCCTCCGTCGGCGTCAACTGGTGTTCATAAGGAGGCTCCTTGGCAGGAGGAGCATCGCTGGTGGTTACTGTTATGACCTCGGAAGCTTGTTGCGCTTGTTGTCCTGCAATTAAACGATATTGTGAATTACCGTGATCTCCTATTAGTGGTTGGTGCTTACTTAATCTCCGCAGCATCTGCTCGCCAGTCAAAGGGTAGTTCAGTCTCTCGGCAAACTCCTTACAATACCAAACCAACAGTTCCTGATTGGGTAGTATCGGTTTTATAGTGTAGAAGTATATGTTCATCTTATACTGACAAGCAATGAGATTCTGGGATTCTCCTGAATAGGCAGGGTTTACGTATCTCATCCAATTGGCTTTGGACGTGTCGTAGCCGTCAATATAGTAGTACAGTTCATTATCCTTGTAGAGCTAAAATATTTATTTATTGTTAAAAAATGGGATAAAAAAATTCTTAAAAAATGTCGTTAAAATGAAAAGTGCATTCGAAAACAAGAGTGTATAAATTGGAGTCAATTGGATTAGTTGTTTTCGGAGACGTTGAGGTTCATTTTTGAAAAATATTAATTAGTAAAAGAGAGAAAATCACCTTATTTTCATGGCCGCTATTTCTATAGAAGCCCTCCCCTACTTGCACCTGTACCAGAAAGGAAAAATCACAATGTTAGCCAATCACCAATGAAGAGAGCATTTATAATGTACAAGAACTTTTATCGAAGATGTAAAAAATAATACAGCTCCATAAATTTCAACACTCACCCTCCAAAGGTAATTTCTATTGGTGGAACTAGGTACAGCATCTTTGGCATATATTTCACCGACGAGAGGCCCGAATCTTGTGCCTCTTGGAATATAACCTGTACTCCAAACGCCTTGTGCCTAAAATTACGAATTACAATTAAATTAAGCATTAAATTTTGGTGAGAAAATGTTTGAACCTACATTTGCAACTACTTGGGAAGACTTCAAGACGAGGTTCCTTGGAAGTGTGGCTTCCGCCCTGTTAGGCGTTCCGGGTTCCACAGGCAAATCCGGTACTATGTAGGTGGTGTGAAGCTCGAATTCTTCTTCGCGAATATTCGCCAAGTCGAATTCGCTGGCAGAAGAGACTGCAGCGTCTTCCATCATATCCTGCAATAAAACCATTACTCAATAACTTCTTCAATAACAGCTTTATTAATAGGAAATAATTTTATTAATGGCTGCATGCATGTTGGTCTGAAGGCAGTAATTTAGTAGTTTTAAATCAAAACGAAACTGTTTCGTACAAAGTAAAGTCGTAAATATGGGGTAGGAAAAGCTCCCTGTAAATAAAAAATGTCTAAATGCACAGGCGAAGGACGGGTTGATCAATACATTCTTCTAAATTATCTTTTCTGTGGGACTCGAGTCCTTGCGATTTTATCGATTTGCTAACTACCCTGCGTTTTAAAGGGAGTAATTACTAACAAGAAGGTCAAAAGATTCAACATATGGAGATTTTTGCTTGAAAATTGAGCAAGGGAAAGATGCATTATGAGTTTTTTTTAATATTGCATTTGAGTAGGTATTATAATGCTGATTAGAAAAATAATTAAAACTAGCACTTTAAAAAGTTAATAGAAGCAAAATCAATATCAATTTTCCAATCGCCCAATTCAAATCAAGAATCCCTAATTGAATTATAATTCACCATTCACCGCTCCCCTTCCAAACCAATCGACTCGAGCTCATCAAGCCACCCCTCTTTCAACAACTTTAAAATATCAAAAAAAAAATCATTAATTCGAACATGGAAATGGAGTATGTAGCCCTTCGATCGCACACCTCATTAGCATCCATCCCTTTCCAGCGAACCCCTTTTATTTTCATTCCAGTCTATGAACGCTAAGTGAAAGGACAATATGGGTCAGTGTGTACTGCAATATCGACCGACGACCAAGCGTCGCGACGCTTTTGCGTTTAACGACGACGTCACCGGGAAAGCGTGACGTCATATCCAGATTCGTGGAGTTGGTAGCTCGCCGGCCAATCGCCGGATGGGGTTCTTCGACGGGGCGGAGTTGGTTTGTGATTTTTCCCGTTCATTGGGGGTTCGCCTTCGGCAAACTCGATAATGCAGCCGGAGTTGTTTTAATTTAAATTTTAAGTGCGCTCATTACGGTTTTAATGCCCGTAGTGATAGAGGTTACGTAACTGCATTTATTAATAATCCAGAAAGCTCAATATTTAAGCGCACTTTTTATTTTTAGAGTGTAGGTGGAATTTTTTATTTGCGCATAAAAAATTTAGGAAATGATTTAGTTAGGAATGTAGTTGCATTTCTTGTTGCTCTTGTGTAGAGTGTTTTAAAAAGGTCAAAGGTCCGTATTTTGAACTTTCGACATTTGAGCGAGTGGAGGATTTTCATTTTTCGCCGGCTTGGTGCACTTTAGAGCGGGCACAGGAAATGCGCAAAGATTTCCTGGTGGTTGTTTATATCAACACGTATAAATTAACCGGTAAAGGTCAAGGATTATTGGGTCACAATAGGTTAAAATTACCACAAACGAAAAATGTGCATGTATTAATTACGTTTGTTTTTCAATTACGAGATTGTTTATGGTTGCATGATTAATGCGTAAGATGTTGACCGAGTGCAGTTTTCGCGTGAATATATTGTCTACGGCGCATTTCTTTCCCTTGTCCAAATAATTACTCGCTAATAACTTGCTAATTTGCGCGTTGTCAGCGCGTGAAAACTCACCTACGTTGCAAAAAGCTATTGCCAATCAATCATACAATTACCCAATACAAATTCCATCTCAATTTATTTTCACTTTCATTCACTCGCTTTTAAAAAACATTATTAAAGTATGTGAAAATATTAAAATCCGATTAGAGAGATATGTTTGAAGAAAAAAAACGGAACCCGTTTTACCGGTTCCCTATAATAATTAATAATTTCGAAATTAATTGCTTTAATTAATTTTGGACAGTTAATTGCATGGATAGTTGCTCGAGTGGCGAAAGATAGAGCAAACTTTAATGTACATTATATCCATCAAAAACCATTTCAAAGAATGTAATATTTTATATAAATCTAGGGAGTTTGTGCTGGAAATATTGATTTTAAGAATCCTTACAAAATAATATTATTCTGAGATTAAAATTAATTGTGAAATTGATAATATACGCAAAGCCAGTATCTATATTTTGCATTTCATCATGAATTAGATTTTTTGTAACACTGAAAATCTGAACCTCTAAGAATTTTTATAAGAAGCCTTTTAAATAGCAAGCGCAATGAAATCTTAATTGACCCTGCATAAAACAGACTTTGCACTTAATTAATCAACTTATGAGAAACAATAAATATACATTAAAACTACACCAAATTTCAAAATTTCACTCAGCAAATGATTCTATAATAGAATAAACAAAAATGTTAAATAATCTACGTAAATTATCTGATCACTAAAAGCTATAATAAATAAAAAATAAGCTTACCTCTCTCATGTTATCCCTTTTAGAGGATTTCAACTCGTTTTCAAGGCATTTAAGACCTGAAATAAAAAATATATATTTATCAGATCACAGTAAGTTCGAGTTAACCTACAAATAATTTCATAATTGCTCATCTTGAGCGTTTGTGGAATAAATATTCAATTACAACCGGATTTTGAAAAGTTTCATTACACAATAATCCTCACCGTGGACGAATAGCATGGAAATTAAAGCGACTGAACATTATCGAAATGCACTTGCATAAAAAATTTTCCGAAATTTATCGAAATAAACAAATTCAACTCGGTTTCTATTACTAATATTAGTGCAAGGTTGAACTGCATACGAAGTGACGTCAAATTCGGTTTTATTATCTCTGTCGGGTCAACGGTTTTCCGCAGGCGATTTCACTCTGCTTAAACCTTGCAAGCGTTTGGCATAGAGTGAGACCATGACTGTTTGTTGATTATTTCAATGTCAGGAACTATTATTAAATATATGATAATGAGCATTTTTTTTAAATCTCAATTACGAGTTAGATAATAGGCGTTTATTAAATGCTTTAAATTCTATTTGTGCGATTATTAATTAACGATACATTAATTGATTTTATCGACTACTATTTGTATAATTATATCCGACATTAAGATTAAAAAAGGAGTGAAAAAGGAAATGAGCAAAATCTTCTTTAAACCTCAATCAGGAAATCAATGTGTTTTTACCCTTATGATTATAGGTTCCTGATACAATACTAAAATGATAAACTTGAAACTCAGAGATACTTGATAAAAATTATGCAGGTATGCAAAATTAATTAATTGCAATGTTAATGAGGCATATTAATTTATAAAGAATGTGTTTCGCAGCTTGTTTCGGAAGTAGTATATTTGATTACCTTATTTTTGGTTTATATCTGGATTTTGTTCCATATTAATAATTATATAATGGACGATAAATTTTTAAATAATAGTTTTGTTGATTCTAAAAGCATTTTCGCGCTCAATTTATTATTATAGATACATCTTATTTAGCGATAGGTAAGTACATCAAAACAAATAAGACATTCCTTTGCAACATTTTGCATTCATTGTAACATTAAAAGTAATTCTATGCATCCAATTACACCTAATTGTTGTTTTTCGTGTACTTATTTCCATTAAACTTTTCAATAATACCATTTATGTAAATAATGGAGCTCGCACAATCGATCTGTTTTAGTTTACAATGCACTTGGTAAAAGAATACTACTAATATAATAAATAAGTGATCGAAAAGTTCTAGCAAAATCAAATTAATCGCATGATGAGAATAGAAAGATCAGAAGATACATCACATTAATTAGGGAAAATGCAAAAGGATAATGATAATGCTGATAATACAGGGTGTCATGCATAAGAATGGATGCGACTTGGTTTGGAGATAGTGTGCTGAATTTTCATACTTTGCATGCCCTAAAAGCCTTGTACTTTGCCGGTTCTTATGCAAGACACCTAGCTGGTATTCTCCATATTGTCCATTAAAGCTACTGCGAAATTTCGAATTACTACTTTTGAAAATCAAGGAACATATTAATATAACGAGCAATTGAAGCAATTGAAGCAAAAATACTGGAAAATTGGATTTTCCGTTAACGATTTTAACGATAACATCACACCCAATGACATTATTTTTCATCTTGACTAGCTATATGCGTTCTATTTTTAATGATAAATATAACATGCGTTATTCTAATGAGCAAAAAGAATTGCAAATAATTTCTAGAGTCTTCATGCGAGACGCAAGTAAACAATTATCTAATAATAATTTCGTTGTTAGACATTTTCACCTTGCCTTGAACTTGACATCTCGCCTTATAGAAAACAAGTTTTACACACAACATGCAGTATGTTTAATGACATGAGCTATTGTTATAAGTGATCATAACCCGATTTCGGTGCCAATTTTAAGAAAACTAACACAATTAATACCAAAAATCTGGTAAAAGGGCCTTCAATGGTAAAGGTCAAAGTTCAAGAATCCATGGTGAAGGTTCCTCGGGAAATTTAAACACTTAATAAACATTCACATTGTTAGAAAGGGCGAAAATGCATCGAAAATTACCTGATTGATAGCAAAAAAACATTCACTTTTGTTGTTACCAAGGCGTACGACGTCCGCGCTTTTTAATGGAAACACGCTCGTCCGCCATCTTGAATTTTCACTTTTGATTACGCCGGGCACTAAAAACGAATTTTTAGTTCATTGCCAACGATATTTTTTCGACAAGATTATTCGAAATGCACCATGAAAGTGCATCTAAATCGAGTGCAGCGGCGATTTTAGTTCGACATCTATAAATAGGGTAATCGATAACGAGTTTTCATTATCACTGCGAGTTTTTCAGTTTTCGCGTGCATCGGGAAGATGCAACTAATTAAAATTGCAATAGTTCGCTATGCCATGCTACTTACTACATGACGTTGGATTTGACTTAGGTCAGCGAAATGTTGTTTTGAAGCGCAATACGTTTAGAATTATCTAATTATGTGCATGTTTATTTATAGATCCGGTATCATAGGTATATTACTATTGTTTCAGTGGTAATCACCCGCTGGCTGTTCACTATAAATTCGATATCGTTAATATTACAATCATTTATGTTAATTGTAAGCCACATAAATATTTCAAAAACCCTTTTATTTTACAATCAAAATTTACCAAAATATCGAAGAAAGATTGGAATATATCCACAAAACCAAATTTGCAATGATCTGATAACATCTAGATCAAGACAATTTGATGGGCTTGTCATAAATCAGATCTTACCTACCACTTATCTGGAAACATTATCTTATATAGTCCACAGCTGTTAGCAAGTAGATTTGCAATTCATTGAGATAAATGTAGATAGAATATTTCAAAGAAGTGAATATTAAGATTAGATTTTACTTTACTTTAATTTACAATTTAAATTAAACTTCACTAATATCAGAAGCAGATAGTAGATATCTACTTATAAAAGAAAATTGAATTATTTTACTAGGGTAAAAAGTTTCAGCTCAAGAGCCAGCTAGTACAGCAAACTAAAATATAGCAGTAAAACGGTTTGACAAAATTTGTTTCATTCTAAGTTTTATTTTAAAATTTTACTTCTTCTTCACGGTAAATTATACCTTAGAAATTCTTAATGACTACTAATTAAACTAATGTAGGAGGTTAGCTTCGTGAGTTTAATACTGAAAAATTGGTTTAATTATTGGAGGAATCATATTCTCTGAAAGTTGAGGATATAAAATGAAACATGGGTTTGAGATGTCACTTGAGTGGAAATTCTATAACGCATCATTAGATTCCAGATTCAAGTTGCATTTTAGCTATGATAATTGGTATGAAATAATTAGAGGATATATCCTGAGGATTTGAAATTTATAGGGAAAATTCAATTTTTAATCATTTAGGTTTTTTGATCAGGTATCTACTGTAGGAGTTGTTAATGTATTAAATATTCCTTAAGAGTATTGTTTTCACGAATTTTATCTAAAGAAAAATATTTCGAAATATTTAGTTCCAAATACTTCAACTAACTAATTAAACAAAAACAATGAAGCAATTAAAGTCCAAAATAATAGTGCAAATATTTAAGCATAATCATGCATTTCTAGCAGGAGAAACATTTAATAAAAGCATCATTATCATATTAAATTAATAAATAATGTTTTTTCAAATTCACCCGAAAAATCATCAACAACATAAAAACTCAATTTTACGTTTGTCACGAACAATTTTTATGCAGTAAATACTTAGTTAATTATAACCGCAATAAAAATTAAACTTTAACTAGGCTCCAAACATGAAACTTCAATAAATTGACAAGTAATGTAATCTAAACACCGGTTCGAACATCAAACCAGCCCATTAACAAAATCGCATACAAATTTACGCTACAACACAACCAACAACAAAACCCGAATTTTCTCAGAGCCCAAAGAAAATCCGACAACAAATTTCAAAATAAAAATCCGAACGCACCTTTCCCCGAAACCTCGAGCCGCGCTTTTGGCGGGAGCCGAGCGGAGAGCGGAGCAAAGCGAGAGAAAAGCGCGGAAATGCAGCGGCCGCGACTGAACCTCCGGCGTCCGCGTTCGCGTCCGTCCCGACGCCCGACCTAGCACAACACTCTCGGGCGTACGCGGCGCTGCACCGTGCACCTACCGCGTCCGCTGTCGCTTGGCACCGGCGCCGCCCGGCGCGCACATGCGTCGAATTATTTTTGCGTTCCGCGTATTTTGAAAAGCTAATTAGCTCATGCGGCGTTTTTGGCCTTTTTTTTTTCGACCGGCTCCCAGAGGCGGTCTTTGCTCTCTAAAATAATAGATGTGGGTACTGAAAGCGTAATGTTATGTCGCCTACTGGTGCATTTTGAATTTAAAATCTGTGGGGAAATATTATAGAAAAAAATAATAAAGGAAATAATAGAAAAAATTGTGTTTGTTTAATTTCTACTTTGGGTTTTTAGTATTGAAAAAAATTTCTACCCCTAAAAAGTTGTGTAAAACAATTCAAATTTTCCAACTTAGTAACTAAAATAGTAGCAAGTACATTCAACACAACAAACATAAAAAAATACATTAGAAATTAAAAAAAAATCTACTCCTAAAAAGTTGTGTAAAACAATTCAACTTTTTCGACTTAGTAACTAAAATAGTAGCAAGTATGTAAATACATTCAACACAACAAACATAAAGAAATGAATTAGAAATTACAGCTTTTTTAATCATATCACTAGGAAAAATCCACTGTAAACCATTGTTTCGCAATTCGTTGATTCGATTCATTAAAACGACCCCTCCAGCGCCACTATCGCTGGAATTATTTGCCATAAATACCGGAAGAGGAAAACATTCCATTGCTCATGCGTTTTCCGAAAATCCGCCAGCGCGATTGCCCTACCGCGTCCGCTGTAGCTTTGCCCGGCCGGCGGAGGTTCAGTAGGCGAGATGCAACTGCACCGTGCAGTGCCGCAGATGGGGTTACCCGGTCTCGGGAGATGGGGGACACAGCCACGAGCGGTTCGCCCACTTGGGGTCGTTGAATTCTTACACTTTCTTATCTAGGGCGGCTTCTCCTAAGGAGATATTTCTTTGCAGGAAAATGATATGGGGTGTATAAAATAAGTATTGGTTTTTATTACATACTTACTATTGATAAACAATAGGTACTTATGTATCATCTAATTAATAAATGCTTAATGATGAATGATAAATAAGGAAAATTAGAAATATGTATGAACTGCACAGTGTAAAACCGTATCGGTCCATAGAGCACTAAAAACTGTCACGCGACCGAACTAAAGTAATTTTCCTGGTTTTCAGCTCTATTTTTTTTAGACTCTCCGCTGAATTTATACTCTACGCTGTTCTCTTGGATAAAAAAACGCAAACAATAAATTCAAGTCGAGCAATCCGAGGTTCTCAGAGCGTTTTTTTGTTCGATGGGACGTTTAGCAGGGAAGATTAAAAGAGCTTTTGAATAAAATAATGATTGGGTTACTTATAGAGCAACTGGAAATTATTCTGCATGTCATTTGCGTGTCTACAGCAATAATATAGAACTGTACGTACATACATTAAACGTTAATTGTGGTTTGATTAACACATATTAAGGAGAATGTTTTATATATGAGTTTATGGCATTTTTATTATGAGAATTAAATTTTTGTAAGGAATTTTTTATCTATGCAATAAAATTTGAGAGGTTATAAAAATGCTCCAATAGGTACTTCATCAAGATTTGTAGAAACATCAAATAGTCTTGTTTACTGAACTTTGTTCATCAAAACGATCTAACACTCTAAATTAATATCCTCATGGTTATTTCCCATTATCGCGAGTAACTAACCTTCCCGACTATTTTCCGCGAGATCCGGGATTTTCCGGGCGGAAAGCAGCACTCGAGGTCGTTGAACCGCTATTGATTTTCTGCAGTTTCACTTTTATTTTGTTTTGATAGAACTCTCTCGGAAAAGTTTACATGAATATCGGGTTTTCGGCAATTGCTGCTTTGGGGCAGTTCAGTGACACTGCATCAAACGCGATTTGGGTTATTTGACTGCGATGCAGGAAAAGACTCCATTCAAATTCAGCAGGATTTTTTAGATCATCGAATTGAATTGATTAATGAATGATATGTTTATTTTTTTATTTAAAATTATTGTTTTTGTTGATAAATAGTAGCTGATTAGTGGGAAGAATAATAAATTGATTAATGATATCTCTAGTTTTGTACCTTTACTAAACAAATAATTTATTTTAAATACCCCATTTGTATGGTTCTTTATAGCTCTATACCTACATACTCAATTTTTAACATCTATACCTCAGAACAATATTTTTTCCTGTTTATTATTTATTCGATTCTCCGAGCAGAAAGTGCTTGTGATACAGAATTCAAAAAACACCAGGAATTATTGAACCACCAAGCGACGAATCCGGTCTCCGATATCCCAGATCAATTCGCCCATGAATGAAGAATCATCCCCAAGAGTGGCCGTAAACAAACCTAGCGCGAGTTCGACGACCCCGAGCAGTTTCGGGAGAGACATGAATGCGGAAGGTCCGGGTTTGACCCCTCGTGACCTGGGCCAACACTTTCCATGGTAACCGTCACGCAAGTCGGGAAAATTCGATCGATTTTCCGGGCGATGGGTCCTCCCTCCCGCATCGACTTCGACTATCATCTCCGCTATTTTTTCGATTTCTTGCTAATGCCCTGAATATTGCATTGTTGTTTGTATACCGCCTATTCGCGGGGTGAAATTGTTATTTAAAATCGCAAAATTCGATTTTTATTTCACTTAAAATGTTTATTAAACATATAAATTATGAAAATAGTCTTTAATAATCAGTAAATTAATTTAAAAATGCCCTAATAGAATCGTCCAAGCAAGTCCATGCAATCCACTTAAAATTATGAAAAAAAACCAATAAAAGTAGAATATTGAAAAAAACTCTTGTAATATTCAAAATTCTGTTAAATTAGTGTTTTAATTCTATTAACATTGTCATACAACAATCATAAATTTTGATTACGATACAATTTAATACAAATTCTAATAAAATTTGAGCTTATTCATGATGAATTTTCCTGACCAAACCTACGTCTATGGCTCGATAAAATTTCGTCTAGTTTACTTAAAACCTGCGCTCGCAATCGTCCAGCAGTCTACGAGTGTTTATAGAAAATGAGGTATAGTGTAGGTCAAACGCAGCGTTTTTAGGCCAAAAGGCCAGTAGTGCGAAAGCTAAACGCGCATTGGTCAGCCATCAATATTGACCTGATTTAAGTCAGTCTTCTTCGACTTGAGTGGCCGGCCGTCGCCTAGCTAAGCTAATCATATGTTCATGAATGGAAG